CTCCACTCTCTCCACAACTGCCCCATCATCGATTTGGAGTTGTGGGGGTGGTGTGTCCGATGGTACAAAATACCCAGGCAGGTGCTTAGTTTTGGTGGGGCTGATGGTAAGGCCCCATCTCTTAGTGGCACGGTCCAGTCTCAGCAGCAGCGTCTCCAACTCCTCCTCTGAATGAGCAGCTATTACCAAATCATTGGCATAATAACGTGGTTGAGCAATAGGGAGCCATCCCTTGACCGCACCCGGGCATCGATCTTCCTCCCATTATATCTGTACCAAATGGAGATTGCCCCGGTACAGCTATTGAAGGCTTCACGAACTACGTGGTCAAAATAGATGTTAAATAATGTGGGAGCCAGAGGACATCCCTGTCGCACCCCAAGGTGTACAGGGAATGGCTCTGACTCCCGGTCACGTAGTTTTACCCGGGCCGGCTCACCATCATGAAGGTCCTTAATGATCGTGAGCAGAGGGTCAGGGACTCCAAAAGCACGAAGAACAACCCAGAGCCCAGGCCTACTGATGGTATCATAGGCCTTGACCAGGTCAATAAAGCAGAGATGTAGGTCTTGCTGGAATTCCCTACACATCTGCTGTAGCAGACGGACAGAAAAAATGGCATCTGTGCAGGACTGCCCTTTTCTGAAACCGCATTGGGGCTCCGCAAGCCTCTCCTCAGCGTGCCTGGCAAGGCGATGTTGAATAATCCTTGCCAGGACCTTTCCCGGCACACTGAGGAGTGAGATGCCCCTGTAGTTGTTACAGTCTGTGCGGTCCCCCTTCTTAAAGAGGGGGATCACCAGGGCATATTCCAATCCTGCGGAACTCGTCCAGTGGTCCAGACTGTTGTTATGATGTCATATAGGGCAGTCTGTGCACAAACGCCACCCTCCCTCAGCATTTCGCTTGGGATATCATCTCTGCCCGGTGCCTTTCCTGGTCTCAGACTCCAGATCGCCTTCAGTACTTCCTCAACAGATGGCACCTCAGCCAGCCACTCACAGGGGGTGACTTCCTCCAATATTTGAGGCACCGCAGCCGCAGCAGGGTCATCCCCACTTTGTGCCAAAATGTTTTCCTGCCTGAGGGATTTCCCCTCCCCCAGGACCTCACAGAAATGCTCAGCAAATCTGCAAACCTGTTTCTGGGGGTCGGAGATTGGATCACCGTTTTTTTCCCTAATGATGGTAATAGGTGTAGCGCTGCAGGTTACTTTTTTATGGAGTTAAAGAGTGACTTGTGATCGCAAGCCAATGAGGGAGACTCCATCTCCTCAGCAACCCGCGACCACCACCCATCCTTGCAGCGCCTCACGGCTCTCCGAACCTCCGAGCGAAGGCTGCGGTAAGCCTCCTCATTCTCTGACGTGGGATTCTGTAGCCGATGACTGTGGGCCTGTCGCTTTTTCTCAACCATCCTGAACACCTCCTCTGTCAGCCAGGGTCTCTGGGGAGGTCTGGACCGCGTACCCAAAGCAGCCAATGCAACTGCATGAGTCACAGTCCTATACTTCGCCCATTTACCCTCGACATCAGGAGGAGTGGGGGACGATGCCAACCCCAGCCGCAAGCGATGATGAAATTCTCACTTGCAACTTTCATTAGCTAACTGAGACCAGGCCACTTTAGGTTGGAATGGGGTCCTGGATGTACACCCACCACCGGAGTGGAAGAATGGCAGGCGCATCTTACAGATGACTAGTTGATGGTCAGAGGGCTGTTCAGCTCCACGGTAGGTCCTGGTGTCAAGGACATGGGCTCGCATCCGCTGGTCCGTCACAATGTAGTCCAGCAGATGTTCTTGCTTGGACCCGGCATGCATCCATGATGTTGTGTGGATGCGCCGATGCCGGAACAGCGTGTTGGTAATTACAAGCCCATGAGCTGCACAAAAATCTAGCAGCCTCGTGCCGTTGTTATTGAGCTGATCTGGCCCATGCCTTCCAATCACTCCATACCAGGTGCCAACATCATGACCAACTCGGGCATTGAAGTCACCCAACAAGATTACTCTATCCCGAGGGGCCACTTTAGCCAGCACCTGTGACAGGATGTCGTAGAAGGCATCTGACTCATCGGCTTTGCCTGCATCCCTCCACGGATGTTCGTCTTCGGTGGGGGCATAAGTAACCACGACCACCACTCCTCGCCTCCGGTTGATGGGAAGGCAAGCCCAAAGTAGCCTGGGGCTTACAGCTTCCCACACCTCACCGCCACGCTCCCAAGTCCCCTTCATTCTTTTATTCAAAAGAAGAGCCACACCCTGTTGTTTGGCAGTCTGCTGCCCCGGGTAGAGGACTGTCCACCCCTCATGGTGGCAGGAGCCAGAACCGGTCCACCGGACCTCCTGAATGCCACAGAGATCCAGGCGGTACCGGTCCAGCTCCCGACAGAGGAGTGGCAGCCTCTCCTCCGCAGTGAGCGTTCGAACATTCCACGTGGCCAGACGAAGTGGCTTTTCGTTGTTTCTGGAGGAGCCCCGAGGATAGACATTCAATCTCCTGGCTCCGCCAATTGGGGTTTGGCCAGGAGACGTCATAGACGCCTGTCCTCCCGGGGCCTCCGGCACAAGCTTATTAGTTAAAATTTTTATTCGTGGTTTCGTGGTAAAAATTTTGAAGGTGGAGGGGTTACTAGCCCCTCGCACCCGTCCAGAGCCCCCGTTTAGGCCCTGTGGTGGTCACAGACGCCATGAGGGGAGAGGGCCAATCGGAATTGGCCCTCCCCCACAGCACTGTCCACGACAGAGTTGCCCGTCCGGCACCGCAAGGAGGTAGGGGGTTGTTTTGCCGGACGTACAGACAAACGTATACACACACACGTACACACACACGTACACACACACGCGTACACACACACGTACACACGTACACACACACACGTACACACACACGTACACACACGTACACACACACGTACACACACACACATACACACACACGTACACACACACACGTACACACACACACACGTACACACACACGTACACACACACGTACATACACAAACCCCTGCCCTTTAATAAATAACAAACAAAACATTCTCCAAATGCCAAGCCGCGAGACGGCAGAGCAACAGCGAGCAGCAAGAAACAGAGCAGTATCGCGATATCGTTCATCGCTACAATACTACAACTTGACGATATGGCGATTATCGCGATATCGGGGTTTTTTTTCGTAATCGCCTTGACCACGATTGTCCTCGGCACCTCCGGCGCGAAAGATGTTCACCGTAGACGCGTGCACATAGAGAGAGCGAGAGAGTGCAGTACAACGCGGGGGGGGGGGGGGGGGGGGGTCGCTGAGCGGCCAATACAAAGGCAAAGATCGCCCGTAAAGGCTCCAGCAGACTTTGAGGGGCAAGTGCTGTTCGCGAGCAGCAACGCCGATGAAGGCTGCCGGATCCGTGAGGGGGTGGGTGGCCAGCACCACCACGCCCGGCCGCCTTTGTCTCCCCCGGCGGCGATGGTTACTACACGCCGCATCCAGCACTAGGGGAGGCCCCGGGATCGGTTCAGATAATCGTCACCGGTGGTGTTGGCCGTGAGCGGGAATCGAACCCGGGTCGCCAGGTTCACGGCGCAGCGCGCTAACCGCTACACTACCGCTAACCGCTACACTAACACATTCACACTCCCTCACACACACCCACACACTCACACACACACATACCCACACACACACTCACACACACTTACACACCCACACACAACAACAACAACAACCGCTATTCGCCACTAAGTGGCGGTGACGTCACCACGACGCTTGTGCCAGGCCATGTGCACCTTGAGGCCACGTGAAGTGTCGAACGCCCGCGGGCAGGAGGTCACGGGGCAGACCCAGGTGCCACGGGTCGACTGACTGAGATGACTGGCTGATGCACCACCTGTGCCCCCTACTGTGCCAACCTGCTATGCTTTAGCCACCCGGCGCTCCGCTCGTTGTTGTGAGCGTCGCTCCTCCACCCTCCGTTGTTGCTGGAGGGCGACTGCCTCATAACTGCTCAGTAGCGTCCTTCACGAGCCTCCTCCACAGAGGCCGATCTTGGCACCGCTGGTACCAGTCATCGGCAAGTCCACTCAGCTCCACGTCCTCCTGTACCACATCACTCCATCTCTTCTCTAGCCCGTGCCGCGCCCGTTTAGCCCCCTCGATCCGGCCGAACAAAAGCTGTATCGGCATGCGGTGGCTGGGCATGCGGGCTACATGACCCAGCCATCGCAGCCTTGCCTGCCGGAGGAGCTCACCGATGGGACCTTGCCCAGATCTTTCAAGGATTTGTGAGCTCCTCACACAATCCAGCCTCGTTAAACCCAGAATGGATCGTAGGCAGGCCAGCCTAAATGTTTCTATCCGGCGAAGATGTTCCATTAGGGGGTCCACGTTTCGCAAGCGTAGAGAAGGGATGGAATGACCGTGGCCGAGAAGACTTGAAGCTTCGTGCGGAGCGACAGACCAGGTAGCTTCCACACAGCGTTACGCAATCGATTAAAATATATTGCCGCTCGACTGATTCGGAGTGAGACCTCTGCTGTTAAACTGGAGCCGGTCATAAGCACACTGCCCAGGTATGGGAAACTCTCCACTATATCCACAACTGCCCCATCACCGATTGGGAGTTGTGGGGGTGGAGTGTCCGATGGTACAAAATACCAAGGCAGATGCTTAGTTTTGGTGGGGCTGATGGTAAGGTCCCACCACCACCATCACTACCACCAGCCCCACCATCAGCCCCACCACCACCACCATCACTACCACCAGCCCCACTACCACCAGCCCCACCACCACCACCACCACCAGCCCCACCACCACCACCAGCCCCACCACCACCACCACCACCAGCCCCACCACCACCACCACCACCCCCACCACCACCACCACCAGCCCCACCACCACCAGCCCCACCACCACCACCAACAGCCCCACCACCACTACCACCAACCCCACCACCACTACCACCAGCCCCACCACAACCCTCACCACCTCCACCAGCCCCACGTACCGCTGTGCTTCCCCGCCAGCTTGTTCATGAGGAACGACTTCCCCGTGCGGTAGCGCCCAGCGATGGCCACCACCACCGCCGGCTTCTCGGCGCGGGCCACGAGCGCGGCGGTCTCCTCCACCAGGCGCATGGCGCCGCTGGCCGCCTCCGTCACCAGCAGGGCCCGCGGCCGCTGCCACTCCATCGCGTGGCCGCTCTCCTCGCCTCGGACCCCCGGGAGCCCCTCCTCGGCAACGAGCGAACGTCGGGGCAACGTTGAGAGAGCCGATGGGTTGCACCAGCTCGCTGGTCACCTTGAGGACGTCCTCGTGGTGGTGGTGGTGGATGTTGCTTTGCCCTGCGTGCTGCCCATGAGGTTGACACGTGGTTAGTTTATGCGACTATTGACTACCACTGAGCTGACCGCTTGCGCTGCGGGTCGGAGTCTCCTGGGTGCTATTTGTGACTAACAACAACAGCCGCTAATAGCAACCACTAAGTGGTGGTGACGTCCGCCACGGCGCGCTGTGCCAGGCTAGGTGCACGCGGAGTGTCGAAGGCTCGCTGCTTTGGCTGGAGGAGAGGTCACGGGACAGACCCAGAGGAGAGGTCACGGGACAGACCCAGGGGAGAGGTCACGGGACAGACCCAGGGGAGAGGTCACGGGACAGACCCAGGGGAGAGGTCACGGGACAGACGCAAGGGAGAGGTCACGGGACAGACGCAGGGCTCGAGATGAGTGACAGACCCAGGGGAGAGGTCACGGGACAGACGCAGGGCTCGAGATGAGTGACAGACCCAGGGGAGAGGTCACGGGACAGACCCAGGGGAGAGGTCACGGGACAGACGCAGGGGAGAGGTCACGGGACAGACGCAGGGCTCGAGATGAGTGACAGACGGCACCGCCGCATTCGTTACCACGCTGCCGCCGCTGCTGCTGCGTCGACTCGTTGCGACTTTAGCGGCCTGGCGCTCCGCTCGTTGCTGTGAGCGTCTGCTCGTCGCGACGGAGACGTCCCACCCACCGCTGATTAGCCAACGCCCAGAGTGGAAGAGTAGGCCAAATACACCCTCGCTCTCGGCTAGTGCAACTCTCTAGACCTTGCACGACGTGGAGATACACCCCTACTTACAATCGAGGCAGTAGAGAGCCTCATCAGTAACGATACTGTAAATATTTTGACTGACTGCAGGAATTCGTATTCTTGGTTATTTCGGTCAAGTCACGTAAATAGAAAATAAAAAATCAATAAACCCACGACGTTTCGATCGCAACACAAGCGGTCTTCTTCAGGTGTTGCGATCGAAACGTCGTGGGTATTTTTGCTTTCAATTTAGATTTTTGTTTTCGATCTACGTGACTTTTGCCGAGAGAACCAAGAATATGATACCGTATGATACTGTAACTATGTAAGGAGACTCGGCGATATGGCTTCGACTTCGCTGTAGATGTATCCCGCAATGTGCAACGTGATTACCTGGAGCCGATAAGCGACCCGCCGCCGCCGCCGCCGCTGCCTTCGGAGTGCCGGACGCGCGTGCCGGGTTCGTCTCAACGCGAGCCTCGCCCGGAGCTAAATACGGAGCCGGGGGGAGGGGTAGGGGGGTTCCCCTGAAGGAGAGCGTGGATTGGTGGGTGGGTGAGTTGTGTGGGTGGGTGGGTGAGTTGTGTGGGTGAGTTGTGTGGGTGGGTGGGTGAGTTGTGTGGGTGGGTGAGTTGTGTGGGTGGGTGGGTGGGTGAGTTGTGGGGGTGAGTGAGTTGTGTGGGTGAGTTGTGTGTGGGGGAGTGAGTTGTGTGGGTGAGTGAGTGGGTGAGTGAGTGGGTGAGTCGGTGAGTGAGTGGGTGAGTGAGTTGTGTGGGTGAGTTGTGTGTGGGAGTGAGTTGTGTGGGTGAGTGAGTTGTGTGGGTGAGTGAGTGGGTGAGTGAGTGGGTGAGTCGGTGAGTGAGTGGGTGAGTGAGTTGTGTGGGTGAGTTGTGTGTGGGGGAGTGAGTTGTGTGGGTGAGTGAGTTGTGTGGGTGAGTGAGTTGTGGGGGTGAGCGGTGGCCGCTGTGCTACGAATCCGGCGGTCCCGAGTTCCAATTCCCACTCACCGCCACCACCGCCAGCGAGGGTAATGTGAACCGGTTCTGCCCCCCCTAGGTCGACTCAGCCTGAAATGAGTACCTGGTGGTGCGGTGTGTCGTAAACATCGCCACGAGGGGGACAAAGGCGGCCGGGCGAGGTGGTGGCCACCCACCCCCTCGCGTGCCGTGCCGGCCTTCACAGGCGCTGCTCAGGAGTCAAGACCAGTTCCGTATTTTAGTTTCACTTCGTACACCCACACGTACACATCGTCGTGTTATAAATACACACTGCGAAAAAAACAATGACCACGGTGAATGGTGCGTGGGCCTCATCACCGTGACACTCACGGGAATTCCCACACCCAGGGCCACGCACACCCAGAGACCACGCACACCCAGAGCACGGGGCCTGGAATAGAGTGAGTTGTGTTGGTGAGTGAGTTGTGTGGGTGGGTGAGTTGTGTGGGTGAGTTGTGTGAGTGAGTTGTGTGGGTGGGTGAGTTGTGTGGGTGAGTGAGTTGTGTGGGGGAGTTGTGTTGGTGAGTTGTGTGTGTGGGTGAGTGAGTGAGTTGTGTGGGTGAGTGAGTTGTGTGGGTGAGTGGGTGAGTGAGTTGTGTGGGTGAGTGAGTTGTGTGTGTGGGTGAGTGAGTGGGTGAGTGAGTTGTGTGGGTGAGTTGTGTTGGTGAGTGAGTTGTGTGGTTGGGTGAGTTGTGTGGGTGAGTGAGTTGTGTGGGTGAGTGAGTTGTGGGGGTGAGTTGGGTGGGTGAGTGAATTGTGTGGGTGAGTTGGGTGAGTGAGTTGTGTGGGTGAGTGAGTTGTGGGTGGGTGAGTTGTGTGGGTGAGTGAGTTGTGTGGGTGGGTGAGTTGTGTGTGTGGGTGAGTTGTGTGTGTGGGTGAGTTGTGTGTGTGGGTGAGTTGTGTGGGTGAGTGAGTTGTGTGGGTGAGTTGTGTGGGTGAGTGAGTTGTGTGGGTGAGTTGTGTGGGTCAGTGAGTTGTGTGGGTGAGTGGGTGAGTGAGTTGTGTGGGTGAGTGGGTGAGTGAGTTGTGTGGGTGAGTTGTGGGGGTGAGTTGTGGGGGTGAGTGAGTGGGTGAGTTGGGTGAGTTGTGTGGGTGAGTGAGTTGTGGGTGGGTGAGTTGTGTGGGTGAGTGAGTTGTGTGGGTGGGTAAGTTGTGTGTGTGGGTGAGTTGTGTGGGTGAGTGAGTTGTGTGGGTGAGTTGTGTGGGTGAGTGAGTTGTGTGGGTGAGTGGGTGAGTGAGTTGTGTGGGTGAGTGAGTTGTGTGGGTGAGTGGGTGAGTGAGTTGTGTGGGTGAGTGAGTTGTGTGGGTGAGTGAGTTGTGTGGGTGAGTGGGTGAGTGAGTGGGTGGGTGAGTTGTGGGGGTGAGCGGTGGCCGCTGTGCTACGAATCCGGCGGTCCCGAGTTCCAATTTCCACTCACCGCCACCACCGCCAGCGAGGGTAATGTGAACCGGTTCTGCCCCCCCCCCCTAGGTCGACTCAGCCTGAAATGAGTACCTGGTGGTGCGGTGTGTCGTAAACATCGCCACGAGGGGGACAAAGGCGGCCGGGCGTGGTGGTGGCCACCCACCCCCTCGCGTGCCGTGCCGGCCTTCACAGGCGCTGCTCAGGAGTCAAGACCAGTTCCGTATTTTAGTTTCACTTCGTACACCCACACGTACACATCGTCGTGTTATAAATACACACTGCGAAAAAAACAATGACCACGGTGAATGGTGCGTGGGCCTCATCACCGTGACACTCAAGGGAATTCCCACACCCAGGGCCACGCACACCCAGGGCCACGCACACCCAGAGACCACGCACACCCACGGCCACGCACACCCAGAGACCACGCACACCCACGGCCACGCACACCCAGAGACCACGCACACCCACGGCCACGCACACCCACGGCCACGCACACCCAGAGGCCACGCACACCCAGAGACCACGCACACCCACGGCCACGCACACCCAGGGCCACGCACACCCAGAGACCACGCACACCCACGGCCACGCACACCCACGGCCACGCACACCCAGAGACCACGCACACCCACGGCCACGCACACCCAGGGCCACGCACACCCAGAGACCACGCACACCCACGGCCACGCACACCCAGAGACCACGCACACCCAGAGACCACGCACACCCACGGCCACGCACACCCAGAGACCACGCACAGCACTCGGGGCTGGCTGTGATGGCTTCGCTGCTGCACGTGGCCTCGAATAGAGCCGACTTGGGGGTGGGGGGGCAGTAGCGAGGGGTTGGTGGATCACACACAGACGGGGGGTGAATCTCCCCGCAGGTAGCAGGGGGTGCAGCACAAAAAGTTGCGTGGACCAATCTCCATCTGTTCCACACTCCCTCCTGCCCGCGGCTGGACTAATTGCCATCCTGTTTCCATCTGCACGGGAGATTCTGTTGCGTGTGCGGATGGTGCAGCATTACGCGACCGTGTTATTGACGTGTCGCAGGGCACGGCACGGCACGGATTCCAAAATCGAAACCTTTCTTGAACTTCTGCATTTTTTTTATTCGTTCCATTTCCGCATTCCGCGGTTTTGGGGACACACCCGGTCCAGCCACGCGCGGTTGAGCACTGCACTTGAAATTGGAGACCTCAACTCAAACTACTTCTGTATTTTATAGCAGGTCAGGTCACAACGGAGCTGTGCAGCTCTTATTTCAGAAGCGACCTGGACATCACAAATGACGGCTCGACGAGAAGTTGCTCAACACGTGCCAATGTACAGCAGCAGCAGCCACGGACTCTAAACGCGACGTTGATTCTAAATGTCGAGGGAATGTGTATGCTTTGACTTTAACATAGCCATTTCTGTGACCAGTCACAAGCTAATCACTCAGCTATTTCAATGCTAAATTCTATGCTAATTCCTTTGTCAAGGCGCTTTGTTTCTTCTCACACAGCTTAAAGGTCGCGATCTGAGCGTGGCTTTGTTCGCTCCAGCGCTGTCCTCCAGACAGTCTCGTCGCTTCACCTGATGAAGGCCGCTTGTGTTGTGGCCGAAACGTCGTGAGAATTTTATTGTGTTATTTTATTTTATCAATTTATTATTTTATTCTCATTCATGGTGAGGTGTTCGGGGCTTATGCGTCGAGGGTCAGGGTTTAGGGTGAGGTGTTCGGGGTTCATGCGTTGAGGGTCAGGGTTTAGGGTGAAGGTTAGGAGTATAATGTGAGGTGTAGGGTTCATGGTGAGGTGTTCGGAGTTCATGCGTTGAGGGTCAGGGTTCATGGTGAAGGTTAGCGGTTTAATGTGAGGTGTAGGGTTCATGGTACGAGTTTAGAGTTAGGAGCAAGGGTTCGGGTTTAGGTGAGGCCTTGGTGTTAGGGGTTAGGAGCGAGGGTTAAGGTTTAGATTTAGAAGTTATGGCGAGGATTCAGGGTTATGAGTTAGAAATGGGACCTTGTTGTGCCAGTATCAAAAGTTCTTGATGAACCAAGTCTTCAATGATTGCGATGGTCTCAGGTACAGGAACTTTGGTGAATAAGGAAACTACATCAAAACTGACAAGCAGGTCGTCTGGGGACAGGGAAATACCCTTGATTGTCGATACCAGGTGAGTAGAATTTTGTACCGCAGAGGTGGTTTTTCCAGTGAAAGGCCGCAGGATTTCAGACAGAAAACGAGCCAGTTTGTAGGTGGGGGAGTTGATAGTAGAGACGATGGGGCGAAGGGGTGTATCTTCTTTATGTATTTTTGGTAAGCCGTATAATCTTGGTGGCCTGGCAGCAGAAGATTTCAACGAGAACTGTTTGGTTTGATCAATTAATGCGGTTGAATCAGAAATGAATGTTGGTTTTTATGACGAGGCTGTTGGTGGGATCTCTTTTTATTTTTGTATAATTGCCATCGTTGAGTAATTCTTGAATTTTGTTGTGATATTCTATTTTATCCATGATGACAGTGGCATTGCCCTTGTCGGCTGAGAGGATGACAATGTCATCCCTCTTTTTAAATTTATATAATTCAAAACGCTCATCTTTGCTGAGGTTGCTAGCTGGCATCTTAGCGTTTTTAAGGGTTGCAGCGATTTCAGATCTTGCTACGTCTGCAGCGATGTGACCCATGCCCTTGAGAGCCACGTCTACTTGGGCAATGATATCATTAACTGGTATGTGTTTAGGTGTGACTGCAAAGTTTAGCCCTTTAGCTAAAACGGATTTCAGACCATCGAAAATAGAAGTTGCTGCGATTAATTATGACTTTGTTAACGTCTAGCTTTTTGGTGTGTGGGTCCGGTCTTTTGTTTGAGAGGTTAAATTTGGAAATCAGGTTATCCTTACATTTGGTCGACATAGTGGCAGCTGAAGAGGCAGTCATATTGTCTACATGTTCCCAATCCGATGTGGACATTGTTGCCGTCAATAATACGTGTGATTTGTAGAGTGTCTTGTCTAACTGATCTAGTTCGGTGCGTATAAGTCTAATTTTCCCTGAGATAAGAGCTAAGCTAGTTCTAGAAAGAATTTGTTTCACATTAGAAGTTACAGCAGCAGAGGTCAGTGTAAATGCGATTGGTATTACCCCAGAGTCGCGGCATCTCTTCAGAAAGCTGAGACTCGATCAGCTGAGCCTTCTTATCCCGGAGTTTGTTGAAGGATCTCAACGTTATGTGGAAACCCTCCCCGTAGAGGCGGTTAAATTTTGATTTAAAGCTTTCGTGACTGCAGGGATTCATATTCTTGGTTATTTCGGTAATGTCACGTAGAAGGGAAACAATAAAATAATAAAAAGATAAAACAATAAAATTCGCACGACGCTATAGTTTGGGGTTTGGGCTCTGGGCTCGGTTTTGGTGGTTCGCATGAGGGACTGCCACTGACCGCTGGCTGCAGGATGAGCAACAAGAGGGGAGACTCCGAGTGGGGCTGGCGGTGTTGTGCGGAGGAAGACCTCACCGAGAATGGCCTCGCGGCGACATCAGAAGAGATCAGTGCCAGAAAGCCGGTGGCCACGAATTTGAGTAGATTGGCACAAGGCAGAAAGGAAAAGTGGAAATAAGAAATGACGGGCGATATGCCCATGGATGACGGTGATGATGATGAGCGACTAGGAGCTAGCGTTGACCTTTAGGGTTTTCGGGCAGGGCCACCGCGATGATGATGAGAAAGAGAAACGCAAACTCCAAAATAATCAGCAGGCGTCGTCAGGGTCGGGATCAAACCCACGACTTGCTGTACACCAGGCGAGGGAGTAAACATCTCCTAGCCACCGTGATGATGAGAGACACGGAGACTCAATATATACAGCAGGCGTCGTCATTGTCGGGATCGAACCGACGACCTCCTTCATACCAGGTGAGGTAGATAACATCTCCTAGCCACCCTGACGGGCCCTGTAACGCGATAGTAGCGGACTGCGAGCGAATCACCGATGACGCAGCTATTCGTTTGGCCAATCGAAAACAGGGGGAGGCATTGCACACGACACTGCACTAACCAATAGGATCACTCGATCCACGGATTGCTTTTGCCAACGATTCGATGCAGTGACGAACCTGTGGAAGAATGAACCCGAAGATGCAACAGACACCTCGATATACAAAACCGTGTGTGTGGGGGCGACGGCATTGCCCCCACGGGCGAAAGTCACGGCCACTCTCTAACTTCCTCCACATGTGGGCAGAGCGCCGACACGGCGATTTCATCGGGTGGTCCCGACTTGATTGAACTCCTGTGCGGAGCTCCTTCGAGACCAGGGGCGTTCACGGGGCCGCGTGCTGCGGCAACGCCGTGGGGGTGGCGAGAGGGCGAGGGGGGTGGACGTTGGACGAGTGAAAGTCGTCAAGCAGACGGTGCCGCAGTCTCTCGGAAAGCCCCAGCCACTCAATTGCGAAATTGCTCGGCGAAATCGCTCCGGTCACCAACGATTGCACCAAATAAAATAAAACAAATCCCCACCCCGCCATGAACAATACAAAGAGAGAATTTAGTTCCGCACTTAATTTGGCAACAGTTTCTATTTGGCGACGAGGATCGTGACAACACCGGCGAGACCGTCACGCGAGGAGCACAGTGACCCCGTGCCCGCTGACCCCGTGCCCTCTTACTGGACACTTGTGAACAAAACAAAGCTTTATAGCTCAACGGATTTCCACACAGCCTGAATAATTCTGGATGGGGGCGCGTGAGGAAGTGCTCCCTCCACCACCACTCATCACGCTGCTGCTGCTGTGTGCAGCAGCAGAGGGTAACTCGAGAGCGGCTCTCAGATGCGGTTCTGTGATATCCCCTTCCGCGGGCCCTTCTTGCGCTGCTCTGGGAGAGCGATCCGCGGATTCCTCATCTCGCCGACACACAAAGAATGGTACAGGGCGGCCCAACAGTCAGGACACGTGGTCGTCGTCGTCGTCATCATCGTCCTTGTGTTTATTTTAACAAATCACACATGGAGGGTTATTTCATTCATTAAAAACAAATGTTCAAACTGACTCCCATTAACGTTCTCCTTTCATGTGAATTCACAACTTTTTGTCTACAGATTACAGCTGCCCACTTAAGCAAAACGAGAACAGCCAATTGGACTCGGTCGTCCCGAGTCCATTTTTCCTTCCATTTTTAAATGTCATCTGAAAAGGAAGAGGAGCAATTAGATATTAATAGCGATAATACATTAAAAAAAATAACTTAAAAGAATAAACAATTCGAACATTTTAATGCCAGAGTCACAAATTAAATAACCCTACGGTGTCCTGACCTATGGCCCACCCTGCATTTGTTTTAACCGCACGCGGCGAGTCCTCGCTGACCACGCCGCGGCGTTCGCACCGCTCCCGCCGTAACGCCGAACGTGCCTGTTACAACACAGAGCGCGCTCCCCACGATACAACACAGAACGCGAGCACCGTTACAACGCGGTTTCTGAGCGGTCGACGCCGAACTGCTCTCTCGAGCCGCGCTGCCGAGCGGTGCAGCGACACGGTCACGAGGAGTGATACACGGCAGTAACGCGGTGACGGCGAACCCTCGGTTGCCTGTTGCCCTTCGCCATCTCACTCCGCGGCGTGCGGCGTAGTCGTAGTGGCATCGAATCTCGCCGCAGTTGATCGTCGTGACATCGGTCATGGGGGAAAGAGTTTTGCGTTTTTCGCTTTTCAGGGCCGCATCCACGACGACGACTACGAGCGGCAGCGGCGCGTTCAACGAGAGCACTCGGCGCACGTGAATTTGTAACCGTGCATCATTCTCCCGGCCTCTCACTCCGCGGGTGACACCTCAACGCTACCGTCGCGCAGGTGAGAGACGGATGGCTCGCGGCACCGACGAACCGAACGCGTGTTCAGAGCGGATACTGGGTCCGGTGTGTTCGGTGCCTTAGACAATAAAAGTGGAACATTTAAAAAAATAGCTTTTACAACGGTTTTCTTAAGTGCCTTCACTTGGGGTACTGGTACACTCTGTTGTCTGCTTAAACCGTCTCGCGCAGCAGCAGCAGAAGCCGGAGTAAAGATTAAACTCTACAAGGGGGTTGAGGAGTTCGCCACGAGCAAAAATTGCATTGCTAAGTGTCTTTTATAATGCCCCGATAAGTTTCAAGTTAATAAATAAAGCCTTGTACAGGTGATTTTTTTTGCCTTCTAGTGTACAAAGGAACGTTAGTAGAGCTCGTATATAATCACTCAGCGAGTTACATTTTTAAGTTAATAGGATGGCTTGGATTACTCTGAACTTACGGTTTGCTGTGTAAAATATTATTCAGAACCCTCCGTACAAGATCATCCGATACAGAACCCTCGTCTCATCCGACACAGAACCCTCCGTGCAAGATCATCCCATACAGAACCCGCATCTCATTCGATACAGAACCCTCCGTACAAGATAATCCCATACAGAACCGTCATCCCGTGCGTTACTGAGGCTGTAACCCGCCTGCGACATTGTCGGTGCTACCTAAGTTTGGCCGCAATAGTTTTGGCCAATTCCACTGAAAGGCATCGACAGTCGTGACCTCAGTCGTGACCTCAGCATGAACCCCCGACAGGTCCTCACAGTTGCACCCTTACAGACAAAGATCCCCTGTACAGTCTTGACAGACTGCTGGGGCAAGCGCTGTTAGCGAGCGCCTATGAAGGCCGGCACGGCACACGAGGGGGTCGGTGGCCAGCATCACGCCCGGCCGCATTTGTCTCCCACACACCGCACCAGGTACCGAGTGGACCGAGGGGAGGGTCCAGGACCGGTTCAGAGAGTTGTCACCGGTGTTGGTGGTGGCCGTGAGCGGGAATCGAACTCGGGTCGCCGGATTCGCTCCCCATTACAAAAACACAGACACACGCACGTGCGTGTCGAACGCACTGCGGGTCAGTGACTCGCACAGCAATCCAAGTCTGGAGACTTGGAAATGAACTCCCACGGTGAGCAATTACCGAACCGATTGTTGTCGTCGGCTTCATCAACTCACCCACACCGAAGTGGTGAACTCCGGATAGATGAGTCAGATGACCGAAATGGTGCGGTAGGGGGTCTTCGTCTGGGCTGTTTGGGGTTTTACATTTCTTTGTTTAAATTAGGGTGCCACCCCATAGTTCAAGTTTGTTATTTTCAAGGTCACGGCGCCCGGTTGTATCCGTTTGCTGTTAAAGCGAAGTGACTGTCGAGCTCAGAGGAGATGCCATGGTGTTTCCTGGGTGCACGGCGGAGCTGACCGATGGATCACGGTCGATACTCAAGAGTCACAGAGTAGAGGCACAAACGCAGAGAAGAAGATGTGGACCCTGAGTGGGTGAGTGAGTAGGTGGGTGTGTGAGTAAGTAGGTGAGTGAGTGGGTGTGTGAGTAGGTGAGCGAGTGAGTGGGTAGTTGAGTTAGTTGGTGGGTAGTTGGGTGCCACTGATTAGAATCACAGAGTACAGACACAGACGCAGAGAAGAGGAGATGTGGACCTTGAGCGAGGAGTTGAGTGGACAGGTGTGTGGGTGAGCAGGTGAGTAGGTAAGTAGTTGAGTGAGTAGTTGAGTCAGTAAGGAGGTGAGTAGTAGGGTGCCACTGATTAGAATCACAGAGTAGAGACAGAGAAGAGGAGATGTGGACCCTGAGCAAGGAGTTGAGTGAACAGGTGTGTGGGTGAGCAGGTGAGTAGGTAAGTAGTTGAGTGAGTAGGTGAGTCAGTAAGGAGGCGAGTAGTAGGGTGCCACTCGACACACACAGAGTCACGGTGTGGAGGCATAGACGCGGAGTGGAGGAGGAGGGAGGGGGGAGACGCGGAGTGGCCGTGGCGAGGAACCGAGAGTCCAAGGAGGTTCTCAGCTCTTGACTTGTGCAGAGAAAGTAACGACGTGGAAAGGAGGGGGAAACCCCAAACAGTCTGAGACCTCTCTGTCCCCATGTGCTGCATGCTGGGTGGCACCCTAATATTTACATCTATATATAAGATACGTTGTATGTGATGGGGTGTGACGTGACCAATCGTATGACCTGATTGGCGCCAACCAATCAGGCGAGTCCTCGCGTCGAGCGATTGCCACAAAAGTTCTCAAATAAAATCGACAATTCGGATCGATAAAAGTTTAAAAGCGACAATAAATTAACGACCTCCCTTACCAACGGAACAAACTAACGATCGGCAGCAACTTCAACTCCGCCTCGCCCAGACTCTACCGCGACCTATCGGCGCTACAGCCGTCGTCGTCATCGTCAAAAGCCGCTACACGCCCGCTCAAGTATTGCCCAGTGCCAGTTTGGCCTGCGAGAGTGCACGCCGCGAGCGACTGTTACAGCGGCAACGTTAAAACTCACCGAAGCCGCCGATGGCCACCACCACGACAAACGGGGAAGTGCCTGGCCCTTCTTTTGTAGTACAAGTGCATGCGGAGGATGCCAGGGATTTCAAGGCAGCGACAAGGTTAAGCAACGTGGGGGTCTTGGAATATAATAGGACAGGGCAAGCAACGTGGGAGCTTCAGAATATAATAGCAGGGGGATGGGGTAAGCAACTTGGGAGCTTCAGATGAAAGCGTGGCAGGATGTGGTGTGGGCCAAGTAACCAGTGGGAGGGAGGGTGGGAGGGAGGGGGTCGTGATGGGTTTCAGGGTGGTAACTTTTCAGCCCTAACGTATAGTGTTTATATAACAAGATAATAATCAAACATTTAAATAAAGTACACAGTAGAAGGTTATAAAGAGGGGTAAACGTTAAAACGGCGTCGCATCGCTGACGGCAGCAATCATATCATCATTATTACTAATCATAATAAATACTTTCTTTAAAAACCGCCGTACAAAGGAACGCAGCGGCGGCAGCGGCAGCGGCGGCGGCGGCCGCCAGAACTTCACAAACTGGACTCGGGGACCTCCCTCTTGCTCCTCGCCAACCACGTTCCGTACGGCACGCCGCCGGGCTGCCCGCCGGCGGTGCCGGCAGAAGGTGCGACAGCGGCCGCTGGCGCCGCGACCGGCTTAGTCGCCGCATCTTTCTTCCTGCCCTTTGACCTCTCCTCCGCTTTCGGCGCAACGGGGGCGACCGCCGCAACTTGCTTCGCTTTTCCGGACGCGCCGCTTCGAACGTTCGCCGCCTTCTTCCCCTGCTGCTGCTGCTGCTGCTGCCCCTGCTGCTGCCCCTGCTGCTGCTGCTGCAGCGCCGCCGCCGCCGCGCTTCTCTTCTGCGTCGTCACGGCCGCGGTAGAAGCGGGAGGAGCGGATGAAGCCGAAGCGGAAGACGCCCGCGTCGGCGATCGCTTCGGCGTCTGTCCTCGACCGCCGCCGCTCGCCGTCCCGGCCGCACCGGCAGCCGGGACGGCGCCGGCGCCTCCGGCCGGCCGCTGGGTCACGTCCCTCCGCATCAGCGCCGCCCGGAACAGAGACAGGCGCCCCTCGGGCTTCCGCTTCGCTGCGGCGGCATCCGATTTGGCGGCAGCGTTGGTGGCGGCGGAAGGAGCCGGCTTCTCCGATTTAGCAGCGGCGGCAACGCCGTCCGATTTGGCAGAAGCCGCGGATCGCTCAGATTTGGCGGAAGCGGCCGCGACGACGTTGACGCCCGTGGGTTTGGCGGCGGCGGAGGCGGCGGAGGCATGGCCGAAGCCGCCCCTGTCCGGTTTGCCGACGTGTGCGGAATCGGCGCCGGCGTCCGTCCTGGCGGCAGCCCTGGCTCGCCGGCGAGGCGAGGAGGCGGCGGCAACCACCCCGGCCGCCGTCCCGCGCCTCTCGGGCCCCGGCGGCCGGCCGGACGACGACGAGAGCGACGAGCGGCTCGCCGAAGACGACCGCTGCGCCGAAGCCGCCCTCCTCTGCCTCTGCAGCGACCCCGCGACATCCAACGACGCCGGCAGCCGGGCGGGCGACGCCGACGCCGCGTCCGACGATCGAGGGAGAGTCGACGTCCTCCTCAGCGCCGCTGCCGCGCCGCCGCCGGCCGGCCGCCGGCGCAGGTCGCCGGGCGGCGGCGGCGCCACGGAGGTGGAGGAAGAGGAGGAGGAGGGGCGGCCGCGGGAGGGGGCGGCGGTCGACGAGGAGGATTCTGGGATGGCCGCCGTTGCCGCGCCGCTCCAGGAGCGCCGATCCGAGCCGTGCTGCTGCTGCTGCTGCTGCCGCCGGTGCTGCTGCTGCTGCTGGACGAGCAAGGAGGAGGTGGCGGAGGAGGAGGAGGGGGGGGCGTCTCGGCTGACGCTTCGAGCTCTGGGCAGGCCGTGACGCGAAGACGCCGCCGCCCCGGCCGCGGCCGTCGCGGAGGGCCCGGCCGGGCCGAGGGAGGGGTCGGCCTTGCGGGGCAGCGTGGCCGGGAGGGAGGCCGGCATGGAGGCCGGGCGAGCCCTGACGGAGGGGAAGGAGGCGGCCGGCGAGGAGGAGGCCGAAAAGGGGGGCAGGGCGCAGGAGTTGTTGTGGGGACGCCGCCCGTTGGCGGAGAAGGGAGACGACGGAGCCGTGGACTGGACCCCGCGGGTGAACGGCCGTGACGAGAAGCCACCTGCGGGGGGGGGGGAGGGGGGGGGTAGCAGGGGAGGGGGGGCGTCAACGGGAGAGCCGTCACCGGAAACCGTAAGCGTCGTGAGCGTGGAAGTAGGGGGCAGTCATCTTCGTGTGTATGCATGTATGTACTGTACGTATGTTGAACTTCTTTCGCACCGTACGTAGCCAACCCCTCGAATCGGAGGTGTGTGGGGGGGGCCAACAAACTAAACACAACAACAACAAGCAGCAGTAAAACATAGACGATGTTCAGAAAGTGCATAGCTCCAGTGGCTTCCTGGGATCGAAAGGAAGAGCGCTCCAGACGGCAAAATACAGAAATGCATCATGGGAGCGCACGGCAAGTAAGGCAACGTGACAGCGAGCGGCAACGCACCGTGGGATTCCGCAGCAGGGGATTCTGGGAGACAGGAAGCAACGGTAAAAACCCAGAAGACGGGCACATACCGATGAAGGGGCTGGCGCCATCTTCGTCCGTGGTGGGCAGCGGGTCGTGCGAGGTGGAGGGCGAGTCGTGCGGCGACGCGGGAGACGTTCCGCTCGTCGAGGCCTTGGACACGAGGCTGGGCCTGCGCTCCAGGCCGGGCAGGCGGTTCACCCAGTGCTCCGACAGGGAGGAGCACGTGGAGCCTGCGTGGACACGCACGCACGCGGGAAGACGGAGACACGCAAGTCAACCACGGCCTCCTGGTACCGAGTCTCAAGACACTCTCTCTCTCTCTCTCTCACACAAAACAAAGATCCCCCCCCGTGTAGCCTTAACAGACTTTCGGGGAAAGTTCTGTTAGTGAGCACCTGTGAAGGCCGGCACGGCACACGAGGGGGTGGATGGCCAACACCACGCCCGGCCGCCTTTATCTCCCTAGTGGCGATGTTTACTCACCACACCAGCTACCCATTTGAGGCCGAGTCGACCTAGGGTTAGGCCCAGGATCGGTTCTGATAATCGTCACCGGTGTTGGCCGTGAGCGGGAGCTGAACCCGGGTCGCCATGTTCGTGGTGCGGCGCGCTAACGACTACGCTGCCGCTCCCTACACACACACACACCCAGACGTACGCAGACGTACACACACACAGTGCGCCCTGCGTGGCCCCGCATGACCCCCCGTGACCACCCTCGCGAACCCTGCGCCGGTACCGGCGTGGGAGCTGCTGGCCGACCACGCCGGGATGGCGCTGCGTCTCTGGTAGAAGAGGATGTAGGCCGCGCGTGTGCACACCCTCTCCTCCTCCACCGCCTCGACCGAGCTGTCGTCAAAGCAGTACCACTGGCCATCCAGCGAGTTCTTGCAGAAGGCTACGAGGGAGGGGCGGGGTGGTAGGGGGGGTGGAGGAGAGGGTCATGTACCAAAATCTGAATATGGATTCTTCCTGGAGGAATCCCACGAGCTATGAAGCTCTTTTTCACAGATCTCCAAGAGGGGCACGGGGTCAGAATGTGACAACAATACAAAAACACACTAAGAGTGCAAAGTATAGAAAAAGGTAATACAATTACAAATAAAACAAAATTATTGTTTATCTTACCAGGTAAAGCCCACTGAGGTATTAACTTATTGTTTTAGAAGCGACCTGGCCACTAATGATGGCTCAACAAAGTGGCTTATTCATAATAAAGGTTTTTGGGTTAGATCGCATTTATTTATAAATGTGTCGTAACCCTCCACCACCCGACACGGCCAATCAGCAAAAAAAGTGTCACGTTGACAAAAGACAAATAATTCACTACTTTAGCCCACCGGTGTGTTGAAGAGTGAATCCATATTTACAGTTTGAGTACGACGTTTCGCTGGTAAATACATCCAGCATCATCGGGCAATTTGCCAGCGGATGAAATTGATATCTTCACTGGCATTCCTCAAAAGGTGCAGAGATTCAAAGGTAATACCAAACGTACAATACCCCCCTCCCTCCGCCTCTAATCACTGCACCTGATATGAGTTAAGTGATGACGTCACCCTGCTGCTCTATATAAAACCGGGAGCAAGCGAGGGCTTTACCATTCTGGCGAATTGCCCGATGATGCTGGAAGTATTTACCAGCGAAACGTCGTACTCAAACTGTAAATGTGGATTCACTCTTCAACACACCGGTGGGCTAAAGTAGTGAATTATTTGTCTTTTGTCAACGTGACACTTTTTTGCTGATTGGCCGTGTCGGGTGGTGGAGGGTTACGACACATTTATAAATAAACGCGATCTAACCCAAAAACCTTTATTATGAATAATATTGGTCGCGAAAGCCTACGTGTTAAACTAAAGTGGCTTATCATGACGTGGAAATTTATAGCAGCCCAATTATCAAAATAATATCGGAGCACGTCTCTAAAAACCCAGAGGACCCGGAGAAAAAAATCCACTCGCCCAAAATTCAACTATTTACTTGAGCAAGTAAGGCCCGCACGACGCACAATACAAAGACACATGATGAGAATCTGAACGGATGCCCACGTACCCGTGTAGTGTCCCGACTGCAGCAGCCGGCCGTTGTGATTGCACACGGCGTAGAGGTCGTAACGGAGGTCGTCGGGGTCGGCCCCGAGGCCGCGGGGTCGTCTCCACGGCGACCAGTGAGAGAGCAGCGTCCACGTGCTCTGCGAGCGGCGCACCACGTGCGGCGTCATGTCGAGCGCCGTCAGCGGGAAGCGCACCAGGGACGACAGCTTGGTGCGCCGCTCGCCCACCTGGGGTAGCAGGGAGAGAGACGGGGGTGGGGGGGGGACAGCGGGTGGGTGAGGAGCGTTTGGGTGAGCGAGTGGGTGAGCGTGTGGGTGAGCGAGTGGGTGAGCGTGTGGGTGAGCGAGTCGGTGAGCGTGTGGGTGAGCGTGTGGGTGAGCGAGTGGGTGAGCGAGCGAGTGTGTGAGTTGGTAAGAGGGTGAGTGTGTGGGTGAGTGTGTGTGTGTGTGTAGCCCCTGAGACCCGGTCTCCTGGAGTCTCGCATGAGACCGTCAGCAGTAACCTGGCAGAATCTCTTGAGGTGGATGATCAGGATGTCAGGCAGCGTCCACAGACTCAGCTTCACAGTCCCTTGCTGCAGCTGCTTGCAGTAGGGACACCTCCATGCATCTTCAGGCGCCAGCTGAGGACAGCCAACGAAGGGGATCAGCGGTGTTAATGTGCTCTAATTGTGTATGTATCTCTAGCTTGGTGGTGGTGGTGGCGGTGGCTACCTGCTCCTCCTTCGTGTAGAGCTGGAAGCACTCGGACAGGTTGCAGGTGAGTGGCTGCTGGTGAAGGAGCTTCTGGTCCTGAACGCTGGCTGCCTCCGTGACGCTCTCCTCCTGCGGATTCCCGATCAGCCTAAAGCCAAAGATCCCACCCCCCCCCCGCGTGCTGTTAGCGAGTAGCAGCTGTGAGACACTACACATGTAAAGACAAAGACGCCCCCTGTATAGCCTCAACGTACTCGAGCGAGCAGGACCTGCGAATGAAGGCCGGCACGGCAACACGAGAGGGCGGGGTGGTCAGTACCAGGCACACGCATTTTCAGCAGTGCAGGCGTACACACAGTCTAGGTGTCCTATAGACTCGCGGCATAGAGACCCGCAGACTCGCTCAGAGAGACCCTTATACAGACTCGGGCTTATACAGACTCGGGCTCACACGGATCCAAAGACTCACACAGAGACCCACAGACTTACACAGAGACCCAAGCACTCAGATTCAAGCGCAGTGGTTGGCAACCAAAATAACATCAAGAGCCAATTTTGTTAAGAATTTGGTAAAACAACGACAACAACCCAGTGTTCCAAGAGCCGCAATGCGAGCGGTGGATACGAGACGGTGGGCCCTTAATAAACAACGTCACGAAGCAGTCCTCAAAGAGCCACCGCATGAGCCTCCGCGGCCGCGGGTTCGCCGAGCCCTGCCCTGGCTCTGCTGGGCACCTGTGAAGAAGAGCTTTGAACAGCTCAATCTTGATTTGAAGCTTTCGTGACCGCAGGAATCCATACTCTTTGGTTCTTTCGGTAAAGTCACGTGGGTAGAAATAAAATCAAATCACGACGTTTCGAACGCAACACAAGCGCCCTTCTTCAAGTGCTGCTCGCGACAGCTGCGATGTCTACTGCGAGCAGCACGATGTCTACTGCGAGCAGCACGATGTCTACAGCGAGCAGCACGATGTCTACTGTGAGCAGCACGATGTCTACTGCGAGCAGCACGATGTCTACTGTGAGCAGCACGATGTCTACTGCGAGCAGCACGATGTCTACTGCGAGCAGCACGATGTCTGCTGTGAGCAGCACGATGTCTGCTGCTCGCAGCACGATGTCTACTGCAAGCAGCACGATGTCTACTGCGAGCAGCACGATGTCTACTGTGAGCAGCACGATGTCTACTGCGAGCAGCACGATGTCTACTGCGAGCAGCACGATGTCTGCTGCTCGCAGCACGATGTCTACAGCGAGCAGCACGATGTCTACTACGAGCAGCACGATGTCTACTACGAGCAGCACGATGTCTACTGCGAGCAGCACGATGTCTACAGCGAGCAGCACGATGTCTACAGCAAGCAGCACGATGTCTACAGCGAGCAGCACGATGTCTACTGCGAGCAGCACGATGTCTACTACGAGCAGCACGATGTCTACTGCGAGCAGCACGATGTCTACTGCGAGCAGCACGATGTCTGCTGTGAGCAGCACGATGTCTACTGCGAGCAGCACGATGTCTACAGCGAGCAGCACGATGTCTACTGCGAGCAGCACGATGTCTACTGCGAGCAGCACGATGTCTACTGCGAGCAGCACGATGTCTACTGCGAGCAGCACGATGTCTACTGCGAGCAGCACGATGTCTACTGCGAGCAGCACGATGTCTACTGCGAGCAGCACGATGTCTGCTGTGAGCAGCACGATGTCTGCTGTGAGCAGCACGATGTCTACTGCGAGCAGCACGATGTCTGCTGCGAGCAGCACGATGTCTACAGCGAGCAGCACGATGTCTACTGCGAGCAGCACGATGTCTACTGCGAGCAGCACGATGTCTACTGCGAGCAGCACGATGTCTACTGCGAGCAGCACGATGTCTACAGCGAGCAGCACGATGTCTACTGCGAGCAGCACGATGTCTACAGCGAGCAGCACGATGTCTACTGCGAGCAGCACGATGTCTACTGCGAGCAGCACGATGTCTACTGCGAGCAGCACGATGTCTACTGTGAGCAGCACGATGTCTACAGCGAGCAGCACGATGTCTACTGTGAGCAGCACGATGTCTACTGTGAGCAGCACGATGTCTACAGCGAGCAGCACGATGTCTGCTGTGAGCAGCACGATGTCTACTGCGAGCAGCACGATGTCTACAGCGAGCAGCACGATGTCTACTGCGAGCAGCACGATGTCTACTGCGAGCAGCACGATGTCTACTGCGAGCAGCACGATGTCTACTGCGAGCAGCACGATGTCTACTGCGAGCAGCACGATGTCTACTGTGAGCAGCACGATGTCTACAGCGAGCAGCACGATGTCTGCTGTGAGCAGCACGATGTCTACTGCGAGCAGCACGATGTCTACAGCGAGCAGCACGATGTCTACTGTGAGCAGCACGATGTCTACTGCGAGCAGCACGATGTCTACTGCGAGCAGCACGATGTCTACTGCGAGCAGCACGATGTCTACTGCGAGCAGCACGATGTCTACTGCGAGCAGCACGATGTCTACTGCGAGCAGCACGATGTCTACTGTGAGCAGCACGATGTCTACTACGAGCAGCACGATGTCTACAGCGATTTTCACCTGAAGACGGGCGCTTGTGTTGCGTTCGAAACGTCGCGATTTATTTGATTTTATTTCCACCCACGTGACTTTACCGAAAGAACCAGAGAGCTTTGAACAGCTCGTCGGATTCCTGCAGTGTGAACGGATATCTCCGATTCGGATAGCTCCTAGTGGGCACCGCTCCTTTGCAGAGACGTCGCACGGCAGGGAGGGCTCACCAATGCTTGGTCTCGTTGTCCCACTCCAGGAGGAGCTTGATGTGCGCCGGTTCGCCTCTCTTGCACGATTTCAGCGCTCTTGAGGAAACAAAGACAAAGGTCCCCCCCGTATAGCATTTTCACAGACTTGCGGGGGCAAGTGCTGCTAATGGAGTAGCGCCTATGAAGGCCGACACGGCGCACGAGAGGGTGGGTGACCAGCATCGCGCGCCCCCGCCCAGTGCGATACACACCGCACCAGGTACTCATTTGGGGCCGAGTCGACCTAGGGGAGGCCCAGGACGGGTTCAGATATTCGTCACCGATGTTGGCCGTGAGTGGGAATTGAACTTGGGTCTTTGGGTTCGCAGCGCAACGTGCTAACCATCACACTACTACTCCCCACACACACAACAACAACAGCCATTCACCACTAAAGTGGCGGTGACGTCACCACGGCGCTTGTGCCAGGCCAGGTGCACTTTGAGGCCCCGTGAAGTGTTGAAGGCTCGCTGGCAGGAGGGCACGGGACAGACCCCGGTGGCATGGGTTGACTGAGATGACAGGCAGATGTACCACCTGTGTCCCCCCACTTTACCACACACACATGCACACGTACACACTTACACACAACAAAGATCCCGCATATAGCCTCAGTCGACTTTTGGGGCAAATGCCGTTCGCGAGCACCGATGAAGGCCGGCATAGTACATGAGGGAGTGGGTGGCCAACACCACGCCCGACAGCCTTTGCCTACCCAGTGGTGATCTCATTTGAGGCTGAGTCGACCTAGGGAAGGTCCATGACCGGTTCAGATAATCGTCACTGGTGTTGGCCGTGAGCGGGAATCGAACTCGGGTGGACGCTATCGTGGTGCAGCGCACTAACTGCAACACCACCACGCGTTAAACTGCAACACCGCTGCTCCCCATACGCACGCACGCACACAGACAACACCCACTTGTCCACAATGGGCATAGCCAGCGGGCGGTCCTCCTGCTGGGAGAGGTAGCCCTTCTTGGCGGACTCTACCACCACGCAAGCACGGAACGGGGGTGGCCCGTGCCAGCGGGGCCGCGCCGTCTCGTGCAGCTGCGCGGTCATTCCCCCCACGAGGCAGCGCTGCAGCTCAGCCCACGACGCCCGGCGCAAGCAGCTCACCAGGAACGGGGGGCCGAACCTGGGCACGGCGAGACGGGGTGGGGGCAGGGGCACCGTGCGCAGAGCGTAGAGGTGCCGCAGCGGCAACGGTGCGATTCAGAATTTGTTAACGTGCGCGGTTTTCGTTCACGGTCACACAGAGAGCGAGAGAGGGACCGCAGGTAAGTGGGAAGGGCAGCCAGAACTGGGGCCAAAAACATTCCCCAAGGCTCTGTGGTGCTATACTGCGATCCACGTGGGGAGATGGAGCGCTGAATTCAGGCTCGTGTTTGTGGACCAGGCGGCTTGGTGCTTCTCAGGAACGTGAGAGAAGGTGACAGCTGTGTTGCTTTATATGGTTTCCAAAATTTTGCTAAACCCTGTTTGTCTGGTATGCTTCTCTCTCTGTGTACCCTGCTGTATCTGTGTTAGTTGCCCCAACTTGGGTGTCTGTATATACATCTGATGTTATGTGTTTCCCCTCTCTCGTAAATTTAGCTCTTCTGTACCTGATGATGGCTGCTTGTGTTGCAACTGAAACGTCGTACGCTATGTTATTTTATTATTTCTTATTTACACGTGACTTTACCGAAAAAAACAAAGAGTAATTCCTGCAGTCACGAAAGCTTCAAATCAAGTCAGCTTGGGAAGGCCTTCGTTCAACAGTGGATGGCTCATGGCTGCCACCGTTGCTGCTGATACTGCCGCTACTGACGATTTACAGTGAAACCTTGGATTGCGAGCATAATTCGTTCCGGAAACGTGTTTGTAATCCAAAGCACTCGTATATCAAAGCGAATTTCCCCATAAGAAATCATGGAAACTCAGATGATTCGTTCCACAACCCAAAAATATTCATGTAAAAATTATTAATACAAAATACCTTTTTTTAAATTGTATTATTTAAATTTAATATAAAGCAATCAAATTAATTAATTAAATGTAATCGTGGCTCGTGTGAGGGAGACGAGAGAGAGGAGAGGAGGAGGGTTATTGTGTAGAACGACTTTCACTGTCACTAACGGAATCACTGCCATCTGTTGGCTCACTGGAATCTTTTTGTGCGACTTGAACAAGGAACCTATCCAATGACACTTGCTTTTGCCTCCTTTTCAAATTTTTTCTTCATGGGGGCCACTGTTGCAGTACAGTTACTAAAGAACAGTCACTACACTTGGACACAAAATAAAAAAAAATCTTCACGCACACACACGTGGTCACAGCAATATAGTAAACAGTAAACGCTCGCACGAATGTTGACTATACGGGTGAGGCACGCCGACTGAGACCGAGCATGGGAGACGATTACCCACAATCCCGCAGCGAGAGAGAGAGAAGAACCATCGGCTCAGTTGTGATCACGTCACGCTCGGCAGACAAAGCGTGTACGTACTACTCGTATTGCAAGACCTCGCTCGTTTATCAAGTTAAAATGTATTACTAATTTTTGCTCGTCTTGCAAAACACTCGCAGACCCAGTTACTCGCAAATCCAAGGTTTTTACTGTACGTTGAACTTCTTTCGCACCGTACGTAGCCAACCGTGCTAATCGGAGGTGCGGGGGGAAGGGCAACAAACTAAACACAGGAGTTCTAAAGAAATTAGTTCGTCAATCCAGATGATAATTTTAAAAAGTGCGTAGCTGCAGTGGCTATCCTAACATTGGAAGGAAGAGCGTTCCTGCCGGTCGCAGAAGTGCATCGGAAAGCGCGCGATGCGGTGACCACCGTCTTTGTTCGATGGCGAGCCGGGGAGCCGCTTCTGCGAGGATGACCACCGGAGTTCGCGTGCCGACGGTTTATGCTTTGACGAGATCAGCAAGGTGTTGCGGTTAATTTGTGTGACGATGACGACGATGATAGTGATGATGAGCTGTGGGTGGAGAGAGAGAGAGAGAGAGGCACCTCCTCGCGTTAGTGCCACCTCCCGAGCGGTTGCAGACGAGAAGGACCAACGCGTCGGCGACGCCCCCGCCGGCGTAGGCGTCTTCCGAGCTGCCGTGGCTGCCTGCGGAGATTGAACGCGGAAATCAACAGCGGCGTCATTTACACCGGCACGTTCTAGCGTGTCAAAATGAATAGCAGCCAAATTACTCTAAACGCGTGGCGATGTTGATTCTAAATGTGGTGGGAAAAACCGGAGGACCCGGAGAAAAAAAATCCACGCGACCACGGGGAGAGAGAGAGAGAGAGAGACACTGAAGACTCAAAATATCGAGCAGGCGTCAGGGTGAGGATCAAACCCACGACCTCGTGTATGCCAGGCGAGGTAGTTAACGTCTCGCCGCTGTGTGTGCACGCGGCACGCCCACCGTGGAGCACCACACCCACCGGACCAATCGGAGGGGACCTCGAACGCGAAGAGGCAGTCGGTGTCGTGGATGACCCCCAGCTCCTCGTCGTCCCCAAACGAGCGGTGGAATCCGTCCGAGTAGAGCTCCGTCAGCACGAGCTGCCGGCGGCGGGGGAGGGGGAGACAACAGCATCACGACGCTAGTGCCCGGCCAGGTGCATGGGATGCTGCGGTGGCGAGATGTTAACTACCTCGCCTGGTATGCAGGAGGTCGCGGGTTCGATCGCGACCCTGACGCCTGTTGTATATTTGGAGTTTCCACGTTCTCCCCGTGGTCGCGTGGATTTTTCTCCGGGTCCTCCGGTTTTCCCCTCCACATTAAGAATCAACATCGCCACGCGTTTGGAGTATTTGACTGCGATACATTGCCAAGTGATGATAAGAAGCCACTTCGTTGAGCTATCATTTGTGATAGTCAGGCGGCTTATGAACAAGAGCTACACTGCTCTTTACCTGGTGAAATAAAAATAATGTTACAGTTCAGTTTCGACTGCAACTCGGACCACGATGCCCGGCGCAAGCAACTCACCAGGAACGGGGAGACAGCGGGGGGGGGGGGGGGGGGCGGGGTCAGGGGTTGCGTGCCGGCTACCTGCGTGCGGGGGACGTCGACTTCGGAGGAGAGGGCCTCCCTGAGCCGGGAGACGGAGCCGGCGACGGGAACCGCAACGCCGACGCGGAGGAACGCCGGAGTGCGGCTCGAGAGGCCCACGGTGACGGAGAGCGGCCTGCCGAGGATAACGACCGCGTTGTAAGAACCGCGTTGTGACTACCGCATTGTACGGAGTAGAGGTCTCGGTGGAAAGCATGTAATGGGTACGACGGTTCCGCCCACGCCTGTTAATGGTGGCGAGATTCTAACTACCGCGCCTGGTACACAGCATTTCGTGGGTTCGATTCTAGCCCTGATGCCTGCTGTACATTTGCCCTTTGTGTGTTCTCTCTCTCTCTCTCCCCGGGGTCGCGTGAATGTTTCTCCGTTTTTTCCCCTCCACATTTAGAATAAACATCACGCGTTTAGAGCATTTGGCTGCTGTAAATTTCCACGTGACGATAAGCCACTTGGTTGAGCTGTCATTTGTGATAGCCAGGTCGCTTCTGGAAACAGAGCTATATAGCCCAGTGGGCCTTACCTGGTAAAATAAAAATAGTTTATAATTTTAAATAGTTTATAATTTGATGAAATAGCGGCACGGAGCAACTAAAGTTATACAAATGTGATGTCGTACACAAACACACACGGCTACCGGATTATTAGAATCAGAATCTTTTCAGAATAGAAATATTTGTATAGACTGGAGGAATCTGATGAGCTATGAAGCTCTTTGCAAAATGATGTCCAGTTGGGGTGGGTCAGCAAGTTACAGCAGCAAACGATACAAAAAAAACACATAGGAGTGCAAAACAGAAAAGGTCAAGCAAGTTGCAAAAAATAAATTTATAAAACTGACGGATTGAAGTACAAATTGCACGAGCACATTAATTACTGCCGATCTGTCAACACCACGTGCAGACTTGGGGCAAGGCAGCACAACAACAACAAGTCCCAGACCACACCACGTGCAGACTTGGGGCAAGGCAGCACAACAACAACAAGTCCCAGACCACACCACGTGCAGACTTGGGGCAAGGCAGCACAACAACAACAGTCCCAGACCACACTACAACAACAAGTCCCAGACAACACCAAGACAACAACAACAGTCCCACACAACACCACGTGCAGACTTGGGGCAAGGCGGCACAACAACAACAACAGTCCCAGACCACACTACAACAACAAGTCCCAGGCCACACCAAGACAACAACAACGACAATGGTCCCAGACCACACCACAACAACAAGTCCCAGACAACACCAAGACAACAACAACAACAAGTCCCAGACAACACCAAGACAACAACAACAGTCCCAGGCCCCACCAAGACAACAACAACAACAGTCCCAGACCACACTACAACAACAAGTCCCAGACAACACCCAGACCACACCACAACAACAAGTCCCAGACAACACCCAGACCACACTACAACAACAAGTCCCAGACAACACCAAGACAACAACAACGACAATGGTCCCAGGCCACACCAAGACAACAACAGTCCCAGACTGCACCAAGACAACAACAACAACAACAACAGTCCCAGACCACACCAAGACAACAACAACAACAACAATCCCAGACCACACCCAGACAACAACAGTATTAAAGCTTTCGTGACTGCATAAAATTACTCATTGTTTTTTTCGGTAAAGTCACGTATGTAGAAATACAATAAATTATATTAAAACAAAAAACAATCACGACGTTTCGATCACAACGCAAGCGATCTTCATCAGGTGTCAAGAACAAATCACGGAGGTAAATACAACAGCTAATTTTTGTGCTAATTCCTTTGTCGGGGCACCCTGATCCCTCTCACACAGCTTGGGGGTCGTGGTCTGGGCTTGGCTCTGTTTCGCTCCAGCGCGGTCTTCGAGACGGTCTGGTCCCTTCGCCGAAACGTCGTGATTTTTGTTGTTTTGGTTTTTTTTTTGCCTGCGTGACTTTACCGAATAGAACCAAATAGTATGGATCCTTGCAGTCACGAAAGCTTCAAATCTACAATGTTTTTTCAGGTTTGTTGAATTCTCGTCTCTCATCTTTTTGTTGTATTTACCTCCGTGATTTTTTTCTTGACACCTGATGAAGATCGCTTGCGTTGTGATCGAAACGTCGTGATTGTTCATTGTTTTAATATAACTTTATTGTATTTCTACATACGTGACTTTACCGAAAAAACCAATGAGTAACAACAACAGTTCCAGACCATACCAAGACAACAAAAACAACCACAATCCTAGGCAACACCAAGACAACAACAACAGTCCCAGACCACACCAAGACAACAACAGTTCCAGACCACATTCAAGACATCACCACACAGTCCCTCAATTACACTGCACATTAAAATGCAACTATCCATGATGCACGGGCAAAGTTGGAAGTTACAAATCACATCTGCAAATGTGGCTGATGTATGTGTCACTTATACTGGTAGGAACCTCCTGGTTACACCACCAGCCCACAGGGGATTATTGTGTCCGTCCGTCGTGCATCCAAAACTGGGAGGGGGGGGCTGGGTGGAGAGGGGAGGGTGGGGAGGGGCTGGGTGGGGAGGGTGGGGCTGGGTGGAGAGGGGAGGGGCTGGGTGGGGAGGGGCTGGGTGGGGAGAGAGGGGCTGGATGGGGAGGGTGGGGAGAGGCTGGTGGGGAGGGTGGGGAGGGGCTGGGCGGGGAGAGAGGGGCTGGGTGGGGAGGGGAGGGAGGGGAGGGGCTGGGTGGGGGGGGGGGGCTGGGTGGGGAGGGGCTGGGTGGGGAGGGTGGGGCTGGGTGGGGAGGGGAGGGAGGGGAGGGGCTGGGTGGGGGGGGGGGCTGGGTGGGTGGGGAGGGGCTGGGTGGGGAGGGGAGGGAGGGGAGGGGCTGGGTGGGGGGGGGGCTGGGTGGGTGGGGAGGGGCTGGGTGTGGAGGGTGGGGCTGGGTGGGGGGTGGGAGGGGTGGGGCTGGGTGGGGAGGGGCTGGTCACCCCGTGGTGCCCTTATAAAACTCAACGTTTAACCTACTCACGCCGGCTTGTGCCCGCCCTCACAGTCGGGCATATTGTGCGGAATAGACCACGTGGTGCCGCCGTTGACCCTGGCCATTGACCGAGCAACCCAACGTTCCTACCAGCTCCCTCTGCAGGAATGTGTTCTGCTTAAGACCGCCACCAACCCAAACTTTGCTTTACTAGAGAGGTGGGGGGAGGCAAAAGTCTGTCTTATAACCCCAGAAGATTCAAGCTACCACGTGGATATAAACGGATGGGTAGGGACAGCCTCACGGTGTCACCTGGTTTGGCGCAGAGGGATGGGCAGGGAGATGCAGAGGAACGGATCGAAGGTGTTGCTTTGCTTCTGGCAGTGAGGGCACGTCAGGGAGAACCTGCGGACAAGACAAAGATCCCCCGTGTAGCCTTAACAGACTGTAGGGGCAAGTGCCGTTAGCGAGCACCTGTGAATGCCGGCACGGCACACAAGGGAGGATTGGGTGGCCAGCACCACGCCCAGCCGCCTTTGTCTCCCCAGTGGCGATGTTTACACACCGCACCAGGTACTCATTTGAGGCGGAGTCGACGTAGGGGAGGCCCAGGACCGGTTCAGATAATCATCACTGGTGTTGGCCGTGAGCGGGAATCGAACTTGGGTCGTTGGGTTCGTAGCGCAGCGTTAACCGATACACTACCGCTCCCCACACACACACACACGTACACACACACGTACACACACACGTACACACACACACACGTACACACACACACACGTACACACAAGACAAAGATCCCCCGTATAGCCTTAACAGACTGTAGGGGCAAGTGCTGTTAGCGAGCACCTATGAAGGCCAGAACGGTACACAAGGGGGTGGGTGGCCAGCAACCACGCCCGACCGCCTTTGTCTCCCCAGTGGCGATATTTACACACCGCACTAGGTACTAATTTCAGGCTGAGTCGACCTGGGGGAGGCCCAGGACGGGTTCAGAAAATCGTCACTGGTGTTGGCCGTGAGCGGGAATCGAACCCCAGTCGCCAGGTTCATAGCGCAGCGCGCTAACCGCTACACTACCGCTCCCCATACACGTACACACACCCACAATCACAACAACAACAACCGCCATTCACCACTAAGTGGCGGTGACGTCACCACGATGCTTGTGCCAGGTTATGTGCACCCTGAGGCCACGTGAAGTGTCGAACGCCCGCTGGCAGGTGGTCACGGGACAGACCCAGGTGTCACGGGTCGACTGAGATGACTGGCTGATGCACCACCTGTGCCCCCTTCTGTGCCAACCTGCTGTGCTTTAGCCACCCGGCGTCCGCTCATTGTTGTGAGCGTCGCTCCTCCGCCCTCCGTTGTTGTTGGAGGGCGACTACCTCCAACTGCCCAGTAGCGTCCTTCACGAGCCTCCTGCACAGAGGCCGATCTTGACACCACTGGTACCAGTCATCGGCAAGTCCACTCAGCTCCACGTTCTCCCATACCACATCACTCCATCTCTTCTCTAGCCCATGCCGCGCCCGTTTAGCCCCCTCAATCCGGCCGGACAAAAGCTGTTTCGGCATGCGGTGGCTAGGCATGCGGGCTACATGACCCAGCCATCGCAGCCGTGCCCACCGGAGGAGCTCACCGATGGGACCTTGCCCAGATCTTTCAAGGATTTGAGAGCTCCTCACACAATCCAGTCTGGTTAAACCCAGGATGGATCGTAGGCAGGCCAGCCTAAATGTCTCTAACCGGCGAAGGTGTTCCATTAGGGGGGTCCACGTTTCGCAAGCGTAGAGAAGGGAGGGAATGACCGTGGCCGAGAAGACCTGAAGCTTAGTGCGGAGCGACAGACCAGGTAGCTTCTACACAGGGTTACGCAACGGATGAAAAGATATTGCCACTCGACTGATTCGGAGTGAGACCTCTGCTGTTAAACTGGAGCCGGCTATAAGCCCACTGCCCAGGTATGGGAAACTCTCCACTCGCTCCACAACTGCCCAATCACCGATTGGGAGTTGTGGGGGTGGAGTGTCCGATGGTACAAAATTCCCAGGCAGGTGCTTAGTTTTGGTGGGGCTGATGGTAAGGCCCCACCTCTTAGTGGCACGCTCCAGTCTCAGCAGCAGCGTCTCCAACTCCTCCTCTGAATGAGCAGCTATTACCAAATCATCAGCATACATAATGTGGTTGAGCAATAGGGAGCCATCCCTTGACCGCACCCGGGCATCGATCAGCCTCCCATTATATCTGTACCATATGGAGATCCCCCCGGTACAGCTATTGAAGGCTTCACGAACTACGTGGTCAAAATAGATGTTAAATAATGTGGGAGCCAGAGGACATCCCTGTCGCACCCCAAGGTGTACAGGGAATAGCTCTGACTTCCGGCCACGTAGTTTTACCCGGGTCCGCTCACCATCATGAAGGTCCTTAATGATCGTGAGCAGAGGGTCAGGTACTCCAAAAGCACGAAGAACAACCCAGAGCCCAGGCCTACTGATGGTATCATAGGCCTTGACCAGGTCAATAAAGCAGAGATGTAGGTCTTGTTGGAATTCCCTACACCTCTGCTGTAGCAGACGGACAGAAAATATGGCATCTGTGCAGGACTGCCCTTTCCTGAAACCGCATTGGGGCTCCGCAAGCCTCTCCTCAGCGTGCCTGGCAAGGCGATGCTGAATAATCCTTGCCAGGACCTTTCCCGGCACACTGAGGAGTGAGATGCCCCTGTAGTTGTTACAGTCTGTGCGGTCCCCCTTCTTAAAAAGGGGGACCACCAGAGCATCCTTCCAATCCTGCGGAACCCGTCCAGTGGTCCAGACTGTTGTTATGATGTCATATAGGGCAGTCTGTGCACAAACGCCACCCTCCCTCAGCATTTCGCTTGGGAGATCATCTCTGCCCGCTGCCTTTCCTGGTCTCAGACTCCGGATCGCCTTCAGTACTTCCTCAACAGATGGCACTTCAGCCAGCCACTCACAGGCGGTGACTTCTTCCAATATTTGAGGCACCGCAGCCTCAGCAGGATCATCCTCACTTTGTGCCACGATGTTTTCCTGGCTGAGGGATTTTCCCTCCCCCAGGACCTCACAGAAATGCTCAGCAAATCTGCAAACCTGTTCCTGGGGGTCGGAGATTGGATCACTGTTTTTCCCCTAATGATGGTAATAGGTGTGGCGCTGCAGGTTACTTTTTTGATGGAGTTAAATATAGATTTGTGATCGTGGGCCACTGAGGCAGACTCCATCTCCTCAGCAACCCGTGACCACCACCCATCCTTGCAGCGCCTCACGGCTCTCCGAACCTCTGAGCGAAGGCTGCGGTAAGCCTCCTCATTCTATGACGTGGGATTCTGTAGCCGATGACAGTGGGCCTGTCGCTTTTTCTCAACCATCCTGAACACCTCCTCTGTCAGCCAGGGTCTCTGGGGAGGTCTGGACCGCGTACCCAAAGCAGCCATTGCAGCTGCATGAGTCACAGTCCTAAACCTCGCCCATTTACCCTCGACATCAGGAGGAGTCGGGGACGATGCCAATCCCAGCCGCAAGCGATGATGAAATTCTCGCTTGCAACTTTCATCATCACTGCCACCATCATCACACACACGTACACACACGCACACACACACGCACACACACACACACACGTACACACACACGTGCGTACATCTCGGCGGCAGCGTCTCGGACACGGCCACCACAGACCACCGTACGCAGGCCTCTTGCCTGTATTGCGCTTGGAATATTTCCTGCACGAAGCTGCGGTTCCCCTGCTCGGAGAGGGGACGCTCCCCGGGAACGTCGGCCTCGTCCGATGACCACAGCTCTCCCTGCTGCTGGACACAGGACGAACGAGCGCGCAAGATGAAGGAGCGCGCAGGAAAAACAATCGCGATCCTGTCTCTATCTGCAGCCAGACGACATCACCAAAACTACTCAGCTCCATTGAAGCCATGTGGCTGCTACGGTTTAGATGATGATGATGATGGTTATAATGATTGTGATGATGACTGTGGTGGTGGTAGTGATGAAGGTAATGAAGATTGTGATGATGGTGGTGGTAGTAGTAGTGATGATGAGGGTAACAATGATTGTGATGGCGATTGTGATGATGGTGGCAGTGATGATGATGAGGGTCATGATGATTGTGATGGTGGTGGTCGGGATGATGACGGCCATGATGATTGTGATGGTGGTGGTAGTGATGATGATGGTAACGATTGTGACAATGATGGTGGTAGCGATGATGATGAGGGCAATGTTGATTGTGAGTATGGTTGCACTTTAGGGTAAAACCTATTCTTTAATACTGGCAAAAACGGTCCCATAAATACCAGCTGGGCGTAGCTCGTAGCTGTGGGGTGTGGGGGTGCTTGGTCTCACGTGCAGCGGGAGAGGCAGCAGAAGGGAGGGCCGCGCGTTGGAGTTGTTGAGATCCTCGTGCATGCGGTCGAGCAGCCACAGCAGGAACTCCTGCGCGTCGTGCTGGGAGCTGCCGCGGAACTGCGACGCGTAGCGCGCCACCACGCCCTGCGTCCGGCAACACCGCACACGGCACGCGCACGGCACACACGCTACCGGTTGGGACGCGTGGCACGCCACCACGCCCTGCGTCCGGCAACACCGCACACGGCACGCGCTCGGCACACACGCTACCGGTTGGGACGTGGAGGGCGCCACCACGCCCTGCGTCCGGCAACACCGCACACGGCACGCGCTCGGCACACACGCTACCGGTTGGGACGTGGAGGGCGCCACCACGCCCTGCGTCGGGCACCGACAATGGGCACGGCACGCTCGCTCAGTGCACACCCGCGAGAAACGCAGACTACCACAGTGTGGGTTCGGGCGCTGTTCTAGGCTGCGTGTCGCTACGATGTCGCACCTGCCGATTAGCTACGGTTGTCTACGTACGGTGCGAAAGAAGTTCAACGTACATACGTACATTCAATTTCCATCTTACCAGGCAAGGTTGCACCGGACCCTTCGCTCTTTTTCAGAAGAGAGCTGGCCACAAATGACAGCCGTCGCGTGGAAATTTAAAGCAGCCAAATAATCTGAATGCATGTTGATGCTAAATGTGGAGGGGAAAACCGGAGAACCCGAGACAAAAACCTCCAAATATACCCAGACCTGCGATCAGTACGGTTGGCTAAGTACAGTCCGAAAGAAGTTCAAACACACATGCGTCAGGGTCGGGATCGAACCCACGGCTTCCTGCATACCAGGCGAGGGAGATTACACCTCGCCACCGTGGCGCCACTCGGAGAAGTGTGAGTCACAGAGCGCCAACACGACGCGCGTCACACAGCACGCATATTCTCTACTGACCGACCACGGTACCAGTTCAGGACCTTGTCACAACAAGACAAAGATCCACCACCCCACCCCCGAGTCACTTTTTTGCGGCCATTTTCAAGCTCCGCTGACCCACGGGAGGCCCAGGACCGGTTCAGATAATCGTCACTGGTGTTGGTGGCCATGAGCAGGAATCAAACTCGGGTCAATGGGTTCGTAGGGCAGCGTGCTTGTGTCACGACACACACGTGCTAGCCACGAACCTACCAGAGTATGGGTTCATTGCCTGAGCTGGACTGTGGCCCTCAGGGTACAAATCCTGGGCCCGGTTTATAAATATCTCTCTGTGTACTGCTCAGGAGGGATCATGAGAGCCATATTGGGAAGCAGCTCGTCACCACCGCTCAAGCCCTGGGTGCGACTTCTGGGGCAGGGAGCGTCTCTTTGGATCACAATGCCAGCACGTGAACACCAAGCACCCGTTCGACACGAACCTCACAGAGCCTGGGTTCGAGTCCTGGGACTAAGCGCCCCTCTGTGCGTCTTTCTCAGGGGGGAGTTCAAAATGGCCGCGTCGGAGACACCGAGCCAGAAACCTGGGGCTGGGCGTTTCTGCGTCTCGATTGAGTCGACGAATTGGCGAGCAATGCAGTGCGTGAGCCAGTGAGTGATCACACGTGCGAGCGAGCGGATGAGTGGGTGAGCAAGTCGGTGAGCGAGTTTGGCGAGCAGATGAGTGGGCGAGCCGTCACCTCTACCCTGCTTCTCACCTTAAAGTCCCCGGAGAGCTGCGGCGTGTATTCCAAAGTCCACAACGCCCGCACCAGAGTCGCCAATTGTTCAGTCACCTCCCCTCGCTTGCTGCTTTCATCACCTCCACCGCCACCTCCACCACCACCTCCACCGCCACTTCCACCGCCACCGCCACCACTACCTCCACCTCCGACGCCACCTCCGCCACCACCTCCACCGCCACCACCTCCACCGCCACCACCTCCACCGCCTCCACCGCCACCACCTCCACCACCACCACCGCCCCCACCACCGTCGCCACCACCGTCGCCACCACCGTCGCCACCGTCGCCACCACTGCCCGCCACCGCGGTTGTCTTCGCTGCTGCTGCCGCTGCAGCTGTGCCGGTCAAGTCCTGCTTGTACTGACCCAGGCCTAGGTATTCGGCCAGCATGTCGGTGTTGCTCAGGCACTGCAGCACGGCGTTCATGAAGCATGTATTGCCGTGATTGCGCAATCCGCTCACTCCCGGCACTTGCTGCTGCTGCTGCTGCTGCCGTTGCTGCCTCGCCCTCTGCTGCTGCTGCTGCTGCTTAACTGACAGCGACCTCCTGACGCCCTGTGCCCTGCCGCGCTCGCGAAACGCGCCGAACCCCCCGTCGTCCTCCAAGTCGCCCCCGTTCTGCCCGTCCGCCCTCTTGGCGGGCGACGCGGCGGCGGAACTGGCGGCGGAATTGGCGGCGCTACCGGCGGCGGTCGATCGCTTGGCGGCGCCGGTGGAGGAGAGCAGCGAAGGCGCCGCTCCCCCGAGGCCTTCGTGCTGCTCCGACGCGGTGCCCGACAGCTTGGCGATGGTGGAGAGCGCTTTGAGCATACGCGACATGAGGCTGCCCAGGTGGCGGATGGATCGGCGGCGCAAGGATTTCGCCTTGGCCTTGTGGCGCTTCTCTATCGAAGGGGGCACGTTTGGCGTGGCCGCTCCGCCGATACCACCGCCAATGCCACAGCCGCCACCACTCCGTCCGGGTGAACGGTCGACACGTAAGAGGCCGCCGTGGCAACTGCCACCGCCGCCGATGCCCATCACAACATCGTCCTCCTCCTCCTCCTCCGCCTCGTCGATGTCTCCGTCGTCGACGTCTTCATCGTTGTAGTCGTCGTCCTCCTCTTCGTCGTCCTCGTCGTCGTCGCGGCCCCGGAGCTGCCGCCGGGTTCCGAGTTGGACTCCCGCGCCGCCGCCGCCGCCGCCGCGGCCGCCGCGGCCGCCGCCGCCGCGGCCGCCGCGTCCGCCAAAGTCACCCGGCTCGTCGTCAGCGTCGTCGTCCAGATCCTCGGCCTGGGCGAGCGCGGCGGTGAGCGCGCGCTGGTGCTTGGCCGGCGTGGGCTGTGATGCCACTGGGCCAGCTGGAGGAGCGGTCGGAGCGGGAGGAGGAGGAGGAGGAAGCTGGTGCCCGGTAGAGGTGGGGTGGGTGTCGGGAGGGGAGGTTAAGGGGAGTCGGATCAACTAAAAACTACACCATTTTTTTATTTTACCAAGTAAGGTCCACTGAGCTACGTAGCTATTTTTTTCAGAAGCGACCTGGATATCACAAATGATAGCTCAACCAAGCGGCTTATCGTCGCATGGAAATTTACATTAGACAAATACTCTAAAAGCACACCGATTTTAAATGTGGAGGGAGAAACCGGAGAATAAATCTATGAGACCACGAGGTGAGAAACACACAAACTCCATTCATAAAGGTGTCAGTCTCAGGATCGATCCCACGATCTTCTGTATACCAGGTGAGGTAGTTACATCTCCTAGACAACGCAGCGCTCGCTCCCGAGGTCAAGCGACTGAAATTCTGTCAAACCTGCTGGGCTTCACATGGGCTGGGGCGCCACTCCTACGCTCAGTCTAACCCTGAAGGCATTTTCATTGCTTAAGGGCATCTTAATCACGGACTCTTACTTACGTCCTTACATAATGCGTGGCTTGCCGAATGAAACGATTAAAAACTTTGATCTCGGGGCGCATTGGCATGCCCCAGGTCTTCTCGCTCACCTCTTTATTTCATCGTATTTACCACAAATTGCTATTCCAAAATTCTTGCCTGAGCTATGAATTTTGTTGTTATTGCAAAAAATAACGTACGGCCCTCTGTCAGCCCACTGCTGGACGCAGGCCAAAAACCGCTGCCGTGCGGATGACCGGAGATCGCGTTATGGTTTATTGCCCTTGACGAGACCAGCAAAGAGTATTGTGGTTCATTTGTGGCGAGCACTTTACGTGTAATGAGTGCGACCTCGTAAGAGGTCTTGCCTCACGAGAGGTGGAGCCACCCAGCGCTTTGAGAGGATGCGAGCTCCGAGTACGCACGGAATCGCACTGGGAAAAGTGTCTCTTGCATACTGAACGGCTGGAGGAAAATGTGGTCGAGTGAGCGAGTCCACTCTCCGAGCTAAATCACATTCACGACCGCAGCGTTCTGCACTCATTTTCAGAGGGGGTGAGGGGGGGGACGGACGGACACTTTCGCCAATAACACATCATGTGCGAGGGCCGCCACACATTTGAAACCATTGTTGGGTTTGACAGCAGCACGATGATGATGGGTGGGGTGTTTTGATCACGTGTTGTGTATTGTCAGGGGCCGCATGTCAGGGGCCCGCACTAAAGGCCACCAGGGGCTGCCAGTGGCCCGCGGGCCTTGCAATGAAGAACGCTGCTCTACAGACATCGGCGACTCAGAACGGATCTCGCGATGGCGTGAGGAGGGGGTGAGAAGAGCGGCTTTGGCATGAGAATTTGGCATCGATTCACCGATCAGAATCGAGTGATTCTTCGGTCCCACTGGTACACACACAGAGCCGTGCGCGCCGCATGTCGTTAAGCCAATTATAATTATACACATCGGCGTAAACGATTATATTTTGGTTGTGTTTAGGAGATGGGTCGGACTGGAGAGCAGAGTAGAGATGCAGACAAGAAATGGAACGAGAGAGGCAGGACACACGAGACAAGCGGGAGAGATGAGAAAGACTAAACGAGATACGACAGTACAGAGAGTACGATACGGGCAGTACACATGAGATGGACAGGACGGGCAGCAGTATAAATAAGATAAGATATGGACGAAACGGTACAAACCAGACAGGCAACACAGATGAGAGAGCCTGAACGAGATAGTACAGAGAGTGCACACGTGACAGGCAGTACAGATAACAAATGGAGGGATAGAACAGGCAGTATCAATGACATCATATATGTACGAGACAGTACAATCCTGATGGACAGTACAATCCTGATGGGCAGTACAGATGAGGCAGCCTTGACAAGTATATCAACGCAACGTCCCGCGAAGGACGCACAAACAATATGCACAGGGGTGACACAGAGACTTGCAGTACAGATGAGAGGCAGTCAATGAGACGGGCAGGCACAGACGAAAGTACAGATGATGAGTAAGTGCAGACGGACAGTCCGAACAACGTACATGGCTGTTACGTGTACATGTGTAGGTGTGTAGGTGCGGTAGTGCATGGGGAGCGGTAGTGCAGCGGTTAGCGCGCTGCGCTGCGAACCAGGCCACCTGGGTTCGACTCCCGCTCACGGTCAACACCAGTGGCAATAATCTGAGCCGGTCCTGCTGGGTCTCCGCTAGGTCTCCTCAGCCTCAAATTAGTACCTGGCGTGATGTGTGAACGTCGTCACTAGGGAGACAAAGGCGGCCGGGCGTGGTGCGGGCCACCCACCCCCTGGTGTGCCGTGCCGGCCTTCATAGGTGCCACTCGCTAACAGCACTCGCCCCTACAGTCTGTTAAAGCTATATTTATATTTGTACGTACGCATAGCATATGCTGCTGTACGTGTGCACCGTATACGTACGCGTATGTTCCATGCGTCTCAATGGGTTTATATAATCTGGTTATGTAAAAGGACACCGCAGAATGTGTATGTGCGTAAGAATATATGTGTAAATGTATATTTACGTGTGCACGTGTGTGTGTTCACGTACACCCGTGTTGTGTACACATGAACACAAAGGGTTAAAATGTAGGCCAACCACCCTATAAGGTAGGTACGCGATTCCTACATCGGGTGAGCAAAGCAATGGCAGGGCTGTCCCTTGATCGCTCTTACTTGACCTCACCGCCTTATAACAGACCGTAGGGAAAAGTGCTGCGAGCGAGTAACACCTATGAAGGTCGTCACATAGACCCGACCACCTTTGTCTCCCCAGTAGCGATGTTTCCCACACACCGCACCAGGTACTGTGATGCTGAGTCGACCTAGGGGAGGCCCAGGACCGGTTCAGACAATGCAGTCGTCACCGGTGGTGTTGGTGGTGGCCGTGAACGGGAATTGAACTCGGGACGCCGGGCTGTTAGAGCACCGCGCTAACCGCTGCACCACCGCTCCAAAGACAAAGCTCTCCCGTGCAGCCTGAACAGACTGTATGGGCAAGTGCTGTTAGCGAGTATCAGCACCTATGAAGGCCGGCACGGCACACGAGGGGGTGGGTGGCCAGCACCACACCCGGCCGCCTTTGTCTCTCCAGTGGCGATGTTTACTACACACCGTACCAGGTACTCATTTGAAGCCGAGTCGACCTAGGGGAGGCCCAGGACCGGTTCAGAAAATCGTCACCGGTGGTGGTGGTGGCGGCGGCCGTGAGCGGGAATTGAACTCGGGTAGCCGGGCTGTTAGCGCAGTGCGCTAACCGCTGCACCACCGCTCCCCACTCACACGACACAGTCATCAGGAACAACAGCCGCCCGTTCGCCACGAAGTCGCGGTGACGTCACCACGGCTCTTGTGCCAGGCTAGGTGCACCACGGTGCTTGTGCCAGGCTAGGTGCACCACGACGCTTGTGCCAGGCTAGGTGCACCACCGCAGTGCCAGGTTAGGTGCACCACGACGCTTGTGCCAGGCTAGGTGCACCGCTGGGCTTGTGCCAGGCTAGGTGCACCGCGACGCTTGTGCCAGGCTAGGTGCACCGCGACGCTTGTGCCAGGCTAGGTGCACCGCGACGCTTGTGCCAGGCTAGGTGCACCGCGACGCTTGTGCCAGGCTAGGTGCACCGCGACGCTTGTGCCAGGCTAGGTGCACCGCGACGCTTGTGCCAGGCTAGGTGCACCGCGGGGCTTGTGCCAGGCTAGGTGCACCGCGGGGCTTGTGCCAGGCTAGGTGCACCGCGACGCTTGTGCCAGGCTAGGTGCACCACGGCGCTTGTGCCAGGCTAGGTGCACCACGACGCTTGTGCCAGGCTAGGTGCACCGCGGGGCTTGTGCCAGGCTAGGTGCACCACCGCAGTGCCACAGGCACACGACATTTGCCCTCCGGGCTCGCGGGCGCTAAGACGCCCCCAGGGCCCCAAGACGCCCCCAGGGCCCCCCCCCAGAGAGACCTCAGCAACGCCGAGACACGACACGGGGGGCGGAGGTTAAAAACAACAACACGGGGGGTTAAAAACAACAACACGGGGGGTTAAAAACAACAACAACACTGGTGGTGCGGGTGGTGGTGTGAGGGAAGGAGACGCCGGGGTAGATTCACCTCAAGGCCGCTGCTGCCGCTGTTGTTGACTATCCGCTGTTGTTGTTGGTCGTCCGCTCCGGGCTTTACCTTGCCCAGTGTGAAGCCGCCTCGCTTGTACATTGTCGGTGTAGTTAATGGTAATTGTTATTGTACTGATTGTTGTTGTTGCTGTTGTTGTTATTACCGGCGGCGTCGGCGAGGCCTTGCGCTATCCAGAATCTGTATTCACGCTGGGCGAATCCGATGAGCTATAAAGCTCTTGTAGACACATGTTCCAGTCGGAGGACGACATCACCACCACCACACCATCACCACCACCATCATCACCTCGTCTCGATCTCGTCGCGAACCAGGATCATTGTTGGATGTTCACGAGGAGGTGAGGTTCACCTCGGCTGAGGAAAACAAATCCCCTCACCTCTTTGCCTCACTCACCACCCTCACTCACCACCCTCACTCACCACTCTCACCACTCTCACTCACCACTCTCACCACCCTCACTCACCACCCTCACTCACCACCCTCACCACTCTCACTCACCACCCTCACCACTCTCACTCACCACCCTCACCACTCTCACTCACCACCCTCACCACTCTCACTCACTTGCCACCCTCACCACTCTCACTCACCACCCTCACTCACCACCCTCACTTACCACCCTCACCACTCTCACTCACCACTCTCACTCACCACTCTCACTCACCACTCTCACTCACCACCCTCACTCACCACCCTCACTCACCACTCTCACTCACCACCCTCACTCACCACTCTCACTCACCAGCCTCACCACCCTCACTCACCACCCTCACCACCCTCACTCACCACCCTCACTCACCACCCTCACTCACCACCCTCACTCACCACCCTCACTCACCACTCTCACCACTCTCACTCACCACTCTCACCACCCTCACTCACCACCCTCACTCACCACTCTCACTCACCACTCTCACTCACCACTCTCACTCACCAGCCTCACCACCCTCACTCACCACCCTCACTCACCACCCTCACTCACCACTCTCACCAACCAGCCTCACCACCCTCACTCACCACTCTCACTCACTACCCTCACTCACCACCCTCACTCACCACTCTCACTCACTACCCTCACTCACCACCCTCACTCACCACCCTCACTCACCACCCTCACTCACCACCCTCACTCACCACTCTCACTCACTACCCTCACTCACCACCCTCACTCACCACCCTCACTCACCACCCTCACTCACCACCCTCACTCACCACCCTCACTCACCACCCTCACCACCCTCACTCACCACTCTCACTCACCACCCTCACTCACCACCCTCACTCACCACCCTCACTCACCACCCTCACCTCTTTGCCTCACTCACCACCCTCACCTCTTTGCCACACTCACCACCCTCACTCACCACCCTCACCTCTTTGCCTCACTCACCACCCTCACCTCTTTGCCTCACTCACCACCCTCACCTCTTTGCCTCACTCACCACCCTCACCTCTTTGCCACACTCACCACCCTCACTCACCACCCTCACCTCTTTGCCTCACTCACCACCCTCACCTCTTTGCCTCACTCACCACCCTCACCGCTTTGCCACACTCACCACCCTCACCGCTTTGCCACACTCACCACCCTCACTCACCACCCTCACCTCTTTGCCTCACTCACCACCCTCACCTCTTTGCCACACTCACCACCCTCACTCACCACCCTCACCTCTTTGCCTCACTCACCACCCTCACCTCTTTGCCTCACTCACCACCCTCACCTCTTTGCCTCACTCACCACCCTCACCTCTTTGCCACACTCACCACCCTCACTCACCACCCTCACCTCTTTGCCTCACTCACCACCCTCACCGCTTTGCCACACTCACCACCCTCACCGCTTTGCCACACTCACCACCCTCACTCACCACCCTCACCTCTTTGCCTCACTCACCACCCTCACCTCTTTGCCACACTCACCACCCTCACCGCTTTGCCACACTCACCACCCTCACCGCTTTGCCACACTCACCACCCTCACTCACCACCCTCACCTCTTTGCCTCACTCACCACCCTCACCTCTTTGCCTCACTCACCACCCTCACCTGCCCGCCAACCGCTTCTCCGGCCCGCCTTAGCAATTTACCGCAACGCGGTGACGGCGGTCACTGCCATAGCAGCAGCGCGCAATATTATTTATTTATTTTTGCTTTATTATTTCTGCCCCCCCCACCACCACCACCCCCCCTCACTACCCCCCCCCACCACCTCCTCACCACCCCCCACCGCCCCCCTCACCACCCCCCACCACTCCCCACCGCCCCCCTCACCGCCCCCCTCACCACCCCCCTCACCACCCAGCCAGGACCCTCCCCCCTCTCGCACCACCCTCACCAGCCCTCACCATCGGCCGCGCTGCATTATGGGGTCACCGGCAAACGTGGTGACGTCACCCCGTACAAGCGCGCTCGGGTGACGTCGCCGCGGTTGAGAACGCGCGCGTCGCCCCTCCCCCTCCTCGCCCAATTATTGCTCCTCCCCCTCCTAGCCACACCCCCTCCTCGCCCCTCCCCCTTCTCCCTCGTCCCCCTCCTCGTCCCTCCCCCCTCGCCCCTCCCCCTCCTGGCTCCTCCCCGTTTTCCCTCCTCCTCTCACTTCCTCCCCTTCCCCTTCCTCCCCATCCCCTCCGCATATGCGGGCAGTCATCGACTTACGAACATCTGCGCAGGTCCAGGCTGGCCTGCCTCCGAGCCCCGCTGGGGTTTTACCAGCAGGCTGGACTGTGTGAGGAGCTCTCACCCCTCCCTAGCTGCCACTGCTATTCAGTGGCCTAAAATAAAATGTTTCGCTCCGGATGACCGCTGCAAAGTATTCTCTGTATTTTGATTTAGTGTGCTGATCTTGAAGGTGCATTGAAAAATGTTGATGCTCCCGACTGATGCTCCTGTTGTTTGTGGAGTGACTCATGCAGCCAGCTGTGGCTCTAGTGTTTGGTGTTACGTGTTATTTATGTAGTTTATTGTTAAAAATTCGGTCACAGTTCCTTTGATCACTGTTACATTGAATTTATGGCTTTATTTTGGTGATTTCTAAAAGTTTTTTGGCTTGGCCATGTTTTTGTTTATTGTAGTACGGAGTTAGACTGGTGGCCTTAATCTAAGTTTTCTTGTTGTTGTTTGACTTGCATCCCACTGGGATTTTTGCACACAGCGTTGGTGTACGGTGATATTTCAGGAATATTTTGATGTTTTTTCCTGGATTTTCTGTTTGCACAGTCACATAGTCACTTTAAGATGTTTTCTTGTTCGTGTTTTTGTTTTTTTGTTTGTTGCGGTTGCACCCGATTCAAGAGCCGAATGGCTCACAGGGCTGTACCAAATAAATAAATGAAACTATGAAACTAAACTGTGTGAGGAGCTCACACAGTCCTTGAGAGACCCGGACACAGTCCCATCGGTGACCTCCTCCGGCAGGCGATGCTGCGTCGGCTGGGTCATGCAGCCCGCGTGGTCAAAATAAAATCCAATGACCGACACTGCGTGGGGAGGCCTTCATCCAGCAGTGGGTAGATCATGGCTGGTGTTTAAAACATTCACAAAGATGCTGTATGTGAAGCATGAATTCAAACAAAGGATAGATTTAATATTTTTAAATTTTAACAAATCACGTTTAATTCCTTACGCATCGCTTTCACAAAAAAATAATCAGCAGATTAAATTACAAACTCAGCGGTGTAAATTCCACATTCCCATGTCGAGGATTAAGCCTCGCCAAAGGACAACCACTTTACACAAAGTGCTACCTACAGTCATTGGTTTATCCACCCCCAGGGGAAGGTGAGATCATACGACCTGTCCGTGATTTTAGATTTCAATTTGAAATGCAAAGCATGCGGCCGCATCTCTGGTTCAATCCCCCAGGGTCAGGGCGTCTCGCTGAGGTTCCTAATGGTCGTGTCGGACACAGTGTATCAGTGCTGCTGAGATCGATTCTATTCTATTTAGAATTTATAAAGGCGCCTTTCGCCAAGGCGCTTGACAATGCTTACCGATTACGGTACAAAATGGCAAAATAATGGGAGGATGGGTAGAGGGTAGCGTGGCCGTTAGTGATCGGGTTTGGCAAAGGAATAAGTTGTGGGCAGCAGGGGAAGGAGTCGATGGTGCGGGGGGTTGAAGGAGGAACGGGTGGAGCGTGATCGTGGATGAGGCTGATAGAAGGGGCTGGGGCGTGAGAGGTGGATGGCACGTTACGAAGTGAGTGCACGTAATGACAGGGTCCATGGGTTGCTCGGCTGAGCGTAGATGAGGGGAGATTGAGGAAGCGGGGGGCAGTGAGTGGTGTCGTGGCCGGGCAGCTGGGCTGGGGGGTGAGGCAGGGTTCAGGGAACAATGTGGAAGGGGCAGTGACGAGGGGCGAGGTAGGGCAGTCCATGCAGAGCTTTGAAAACCAAGATGAACAATGTAGAGAAGCAGCGCTGATAGACAGGAAGCTTCTGCAGCCGTTGAAGGAGAGGGGAGCAGTGAGCGGTGAAGGGAAGGTGAAAGACGGTGGGCTGCCTGCAGCCGAGTTTTGAATTCGCTAGAGAGGGGGCGAGGGCGTAGGGCAGGGAGACCGACCAGGAGCCAGTGGCGAGTGAAGGCCCAGGGGGGTGAAGGCCCAGGGGAGTGAAGGCCCAGGGAGGTGAAGGCCCAGGGGGGGTGAAGGCCCAGGGGGGCGTGAAGGCCCAGGGGGTGAAGGCCCAGGGGGGCGTGAAGGCCCAGGGGGGGTGAAGGCCCAGGGGGGGGTGAAGGCCCAGGGGGGGTGAAGGCCCAGGGGGGGGGGGTGAAGGCCCAGGGGGGCGTGAAGGCCCAGGGGGGCGTGAAGGCCCAGGGGGGCGTGAAGGCCCAGGGGGGCGTGAAGGCCCAGGGAGGCGAAGGCCCAGGGGGGCGAAGGCCCAGGGGGGCGAAGGCCCAGGGGGGGTGACTGCCCAGGGGGGTGAAGGCCCAGGGGAGTGAAGGCCCAGGGGGGGTGAAGGCCCAGGGGGGGTGAAGTCCCAGGGGGGTGAAGGCCCAGGGGCGTGAAGGCCCAGGGGGTGACTGCCCAGGGGGGTGAAGGCCCAGGGGGTGAAGTCCCAGGGGAGTGAAGGCCCAGGGGGTGAAGGCCCAGGGGGGTGAAGGCCCAGGGGGGTGAAGATGGAAGCGGCGCGTGCGACTGCCGTTGGCGATGTGGGAAGCGAATGAAAATGAGGAATGCAAAGCGACGCCAAGAATCTGGACGGAAGCGATCTGAGTTGGACTGAACGGAGGGAAAGACTTGGAGGGGTTAGGAGGAGAGCCGGCAAAGTAGACCACGGTGGGGTTAGAAGGGTTAAGGGCAAGGACATTTTGTGCCATCCACGTTTGGATGGCCATGAGGCAGGTTGGGACGTGGTGGGAAAGGTCGGGGGTCAGAGCCTTAAAGGAAAATAAGATTTGAGCGTCGTCGGCGAACAGGTGACACGAGAGATTGAAAGAAGAGA